GGGGGGGGGGGGGGGGGGGGGGGGGGGGGGGGGGGGGGGGGGGGGGGGGGGGGGGGGGGGGGGGGGGGGAGAAGAAGAGGGAGTGAGTAGAAGAGAAAGAGGAGGAGGAGGAGGAGGAGGAGTTGAAGAGGATGAGGATGAAGACGAAGAGGATGAAGAGGATGAAGAGGATGAAGAGGATGAAGAGGATGATGATGAAGATGATGAAGATGAAGATGACCACTTTGCCATCGACGTGCCGCGCGTGCGGGAGAATATCCCCTCCTTTGGAGACCGTCCTCTCGCTTCTCAGCAACCCCTCAGCTCTCAGGATACTTTCAGGGTGATGCCCGAAAACATGAACGGCATCCACCCATCCCTCAGGGTCATCCACGGAGACTTGCAGCTTAATGCACGCCACATGTCCCTGATCCCCCATTTTGTGCTCTGGCATGCTCGTCATTCACTCCCCTCAACCCAATTCATCTTTCGACTCTCCACAGATCCAGACAGCTGTGGCAGCAGCCTCCCGTCCCGCTTCCTTCAATCGCCGCTACCGAGCGTCAGCCGCGACACCTCTCGCGACGCGGGACAGCTGGGGCGACAACGACAGCGAGGCAGCGAGATCACCGCACTCGCGGATTGGGTACTGGGAACGCGGGTGCGTGCCTGCCCCTCCCGCCTCAGCTGAGTCGCCGCCGCCTTCTGGCTTTCTGCAGATGGGTTCCCGACGTGAAACGTTATTCATTGCTCGTGTCCGGTGTCGCCGGAGGGCTACTGTACTGTAAAGAGGACGGGCTTGTTTCGTGAGCACGTTTTTGTATTGCTTCAGTTTTTGCCCGCGATCAGATGTCTGTCAATGGCCTCACTGGCCCGCGTGGAGCGTGAGACTGCTGTGGAAACAACCCTCCCTTTGTGCAATCGCAGTCTCTACAACCCACGACCTCGGCTCCCAAATCTCGGTTCTCAACGTCCAGGGTGGATGGCGTCTGGGGCGTGGCGTCGCCGTCTCCGCGCGATCGCCAGATCGACACGGCCGCGGACATCTATTCCTCTCCGTCACTTTTGAATCCTGAATCCACGTAATTCCATACCACGTGGCATCCTGATCCACCCGCTCCCGCCCTCGTCTTGGAAAGTTGGGTCTCCTCACTTCCGAACACTCCGACTACTCCGCACACCATGTCCCGACCACTGCGCGCGCTGAGCCGTGCGTGCCCCCGCTAACCCGCTCCGCTCCGCTAACAGCAGTCGCGCACACGCTCTCGGGGCCCTCGCGCCCGCTCGCGCGCCCGCTCGTCGTCGCGGCCCCGCCCGTGCTGGCGCGCAAGTACGTCGCCGTTTCTGCGCACGACTGACCCCAGCGCCTCGTGGTTCAAGAACATCGGGTTCGGGCTGCCCGAGACGTGGCGCCGCAACATGAAAAAGGGGGAGGAGAAGGAGGCGGTGCCCGAGCCGCAGCAGGGGAGCGTGTTCGACGCCGTCGTAGAGGACAAGGCGGAGGAGGTGCAAGCCAAGCGGCGGCCGCCTCCCAAGGACGTAAGTTGCGCCGCAGCGCCGCAGCGGCCGCTCACGCCAGACGCGCTTCAAGTCCGCATTCCGCAAAATGTCGCACCGCAAGCTCAACGACATCGGCCGTCTCGTCGCCGGCATGCCGGCCGACGAAGCGATCCTGCAGCTGCAGTTCAGCGAGAAGCGGGCCGCGCGCACATGGGTCAAGAGCACGCTCGCGTTTGCGCGGGACCACGCGGTGGCGCGCGGCCTCCGCCGTGACCGGCTGGTCGTGCAGGAGGCGTGGGTCGCCAAGGGCAAGAAGGAGGCGCGGGTGGACATCAAGGGCCGCGGGCGGATGGGCGTCAAGCACCACCCGCGCGCGCGCATCCATTTCGTGTTGGCCGAAGGCAAGACGTGGGCTGAGAAGCGCGAGGCGGCCGACGCAAAGGTGCTCCACAAGGTGCGGAGCGCCGGGGTCGTGCGTGAAGACGGCAAGCTGCGGCGTAAGGTCGTCAGCGGGTGGGCGTGGTAGGGAGAGGGGAGCATGCAACATCTCTGCACTACGGGGAAAGGAAAGAGGCGGGGGCGAGGCGGGGCGGGGTGGCGGGTCATGCTCGGGCAGGGCGGGCGGATCCGGCGGGGCGGGCTGGGCGGGTGGAGCATGAGGGCGGCGAGGCGCGTGAGGGCGACAGCGGGCGGCGAAGTGGCCGACAACGGCGATCAATCCGCCTCGGAGTGTGGCGAGGTGCTCTTTGTGTGTAGTTGCTTACAATCTACTCGATGCAGTCACCCCCTCGCATCCGCTCCTCTGCACTCGTCTACATCTGCCTCTGTTCTGCCATCACTGTGCAACCTCACCACTCACACACTTAAACACCCACAAACATCCACAAACACAGCGATAATCACAGACACTGACAAACACCCCACCCCCGCTGTGCGCGCACGCTGCAGCCGCGCCCTACGCCCGCCCCACGATCATCACATAGGTGACATATAGGCCGAGCCGTCCATCCTCCTTCCTCCTCTTCACGCCCTCCATCCTCCTCTACCCATCCGCCCTCTCACTCTTCACGCCCCATATCCACCCCCACCCCACACCATGCAAGCCCTCCCCGTCGCGCTCACGCGCCCCTGCCCCGGCGGCCCATGTGGCGAGAACATCCGCGGTGCGTCTATCTCCGTCTCGGCTGACAACAGGCTGGTGCGCGCCGCGCTGGGTAGTTGTGCAGGAGCACGTCGACACCCCGCACGGATGCTTCGTCGTCGCCGCCAACCGCCTCAAGTGCAGGTACTGCCTGCACACGTTCCCCACGCCGCCGGCGGGCTGGATGCCGCCGCAGCCCACGCGGTGGCCACAGGGGCCGACGGGGCGGTAGCCACGAGCTGGCCATCAGAGCTTGTCAGGCTGGAGCGAAGCACGCCGTGAAGAGAGTCATTTGTAGATACTTTGTAGAGCCACATTTGGCAGATGTACCCGCAATGTTGCATGCTTCTACCTTGCCGCCCTGCAGCTTTGGGTCGAGTGCAGTGGTCCGCCGCAGCGCAGCGCAGCGCTACACCCGCGCCTTGAGTCAGTTCTTCTTGGTGCGCGCAATGTCGATGAACTCGGGCTTGAGCGAGGCGCCGCCAACGAGGAAACCGTCAATGTCAGCGGCGGCGCCGAGGTCGCCGCAGTTCTTGCCGTTGACCGAGCCGCCGTAGATGATGCGGGTGGCGTCCGCGACCGACTGGGAGACAGTCGACGCGAGCCACTTGCGCAGGTCGGCGTGGACCTCCTGCGCCTGGTCCTTGGTCGCGACCTTGCCGGTGCCGATGGCCCAGACGGGCTCGTAGGCGACAACGATGTTGCTGGGGTCAGCATCTACCCGCATCGAGCGGAGCGAGAGGCGGGCGGAAGAGTCACCGGGCGGGCGAGTCACCGGGCGATCTATCCCTCGCCCGCCCGTCTACCCCGCCGCCCACCGCCCAACGCTGCGCGGCAGACATCACACTCACGCCCAGTCCTTCTCCTCGAGCACCTTGGCAATCGCGCCGAGCTGCTTCTGGCACACGTCGTTGGTGACGCCCTTCTCACGCTCCTCAAGAGTCTCGCCGATGCAGGCAATGACCTTGAGGCCCTGGTCGAGCGCAGCCTTGACCTTGTCGGCGACGACCTCCTCGGTGTCGCCGAAGAGGGAGCGGCGCTCCGAGTGGCCGAGGATGACCCAGGGGATGCCGGCGTCCTTGATCTGCTCGGGCGAGATCTCGCCGGTGAAGGCGCCGCTGTTCTTGAAGTAGGCGTTCTGGGCCGCGACCTCGACGGGGGCCTGGATCGTGTCGCGCACCTGGGTGAGGTAGAGCGCGGGCGGGGCGATGACGACCTCTGGGGGTTAGCGGGGAGTCCTGGGGGGGGGGGGGGGGGGGGGGGGGGGGGGGGGGGGGGGGGGGGGGGGGGGGGGGGGGGGGGGGGGGGGGGGGGGGTGTCAGTCCGTGTGCGGAGAGCGACGGAGAGTGAGTTATGACGGCGGAGGGACATCAAGCGGCCTCGAGTCGGGATGCGCTGCTCGTGAACCAGCCGCTTCTCAACAGGTCGCAGCTTGCGGCAAACCGCGGCCCAGCGCGCGGCCACGACCTCCTCGAACGACCTCACAGCCTGATCCGCCTGAGAGCGCTGATCGCCGCGTCCCCTTCCCCAAACTCACCGTTCGAGCCGTCAAGCTTGGCGTTGTTGAGGTCGTCGACGATGACCTTGATCGCCTTCTGCGACCCGTTCATCTTAAAGTTGCCGCTGGGGGTTAGCGCGTGAGCGTGAGCGCGGGCAAGGCGTCTCCTTCCTCCTCTCTTCCTCCTCCTCCTCCTCCTCCTCTGCCTCCTCCCTTTTCCCTCCTCCTTCTCCCCTCTCCTCTGCCCTCCTCCTCCCTCCTCCCTCCTCCCTCCTCCTTCATCCTGCACCGCATCGCATGCCCTCACGCCCATACTACTCACCCAACGAAGAACTTGCGCGCCATGATGTCTGATGGATGTGGTGGGAGGGGAATGGTCAAGAGTTGAGATCGGATCAGCGTGGCATCCAGGCGGAGGCGGATTAGGCGGGGCAGGGCTGACACGCGGCTGATTATGACGTCCGGGGTGCCGCCCCATTGCTGGCTGGAATCAACCGGCCAATCCCGCTCCTGTGCGAGCACGCCCGAGTGCGTGCACTGGGGCTCCTGGGGCTTGGCCGCGAGCTCCGACCGTTGTGCCGTCTCCGGCAGGGGCATGCAGCGCCGAGCGCGCCGCGCGCGAGAGTCGCATACATCACGTGGGGCGTGGAGGCGTGTATTACACTGCACGGCTGCACGGCTGCATGGTGTAACACGACGCCGGGGCGCACGAAGCCACCACACAGCTCGTTGGTTGACAGACGCCGTCGCGGAGATATCCATCATGGCCAGGTCAAGTATCTCCATCGCGGCTTATCCCATGCCACTCCCTCCGTCAAGTTTAGCTGCCACACTCGCTGCCACACCCTCTGCCACTCCCTCTGCCACTTCTCTCCCTCCGCCACAACCCCCCCCCCCAACCACTGCTCGATGCCATGCATCCCATGCACTACAACTTCTCCCCAGCCTATTGGCTCGCCGCCTCAAAGCCCGGTGATGGGCCGGGGCCAGGCGGGCCCTGCGCCGGCAATGGCTGCTGGAAGTGGGGCTGCGGTGGCGTCGGGTGCCCCTGGAACGACATCTGCGACATCTGCTGTTGCACTGGGGTCAGCGCCGTCGCTCCAAAACCCACTCTGCGGCGCCTGCGGCCCGCCAGGCATCTGCTGGCCATAGTACATTGGCCCCGGGCCGGGCCGCCCCAGGCCCGGCTGGAAGTGCATCTGTGGCGGAAGGAAGTGCGCGTTGGGCGGCACGCCGTTCGTGTAGTACATTGGCACTAGGGTCAGCGCCGTCGCGCAAAAAGCTCACTGTTCGGGCCCTGCCCTGGCCCGTGGCCGCCCGCCATCTGCTGTGGCATAAAGCCCGGGCTCGGGTACATCATGCCAGGCATCCCCTGCATCTGAGGGGGCATGCCGGGCCGGTAGCCGTAGTACATCATGTTGGGCGGCATGCCCTGCATGGGTGGCGGGGCATGCTGCGCGTGCGGCGACTGCGGATCCTCGCCGTCGTATCCACCAATGTTCGGCGACGCCATCATGGCCTGGTGCGGCACAGGCTGGTTGTAAGCGACACTTGCCCGACGCCCAGTATAGTTCCACGACATGGACACGGTCGCCGCCATAGGCACCTGCCCGTGCTTGAAGGGGTTGAAATCGTCGCGCATGTTGACGGCTATCCGCTTAGGAGGACCGTTAGGGAAGAAGGGGTTCTTCGGCGCCTGTGTGGGTGTCGAAGGAACGGCCATGGCGGGAAGTTTGGCCGGCTGCGATGCGGGGCTCGTGACTGCCGACGCGTCTCCACCAACGCCCGTGCTGCCAGCAGGCTTGAAGACCGCGGCGTTGGCGTTCGGCTTAAACACAAACGCAGACGCATTAGGGTTTAGCTTGCCCGCGCCAGAGGCAATAGACGAGTGGGACGGGGTAGGCGACGTCACAAGGGCAATGTTCTGCGTCGCCGTCTCGGGGACAGGCACGGCAGGCGGCACCTTCGGACGGAACGGGGGAATCTCCGGGATCTTCATGGCAATCTTCTTCGGTTGGGCGGCAGCGGCGCGGGGCGCCTCGGGGGTGGGCGACAAGGCCTTGCTCGGCGAGCTGAGAGGCGACTTGGCGGCCTCGAGCTTTTTGGACTCGAGCCGCTCACGCTCCGCCTTCTCCTCGATCGCCTTCTGCTTCTGCTCGTCTTTCGTGAGAATTGGGAGAATGTCCTTCGGGATAGGCAGAGGGACCTTGAAGTTGGCCTGCCACTTCTTGAACTCTGCGAGCTGGTTGGCCCGCTCGTTCTTCACCATCGACTGCCTCTGCTGCACCACGCGGTCACGCTCCGACAGCACCCACTCGCGAGCAGACTCGACCACACCGCCGATTGGCACTTTGGTGGCGGGCGCACCCTTCAAGTCGGAGCCGTTCGCCTGCTGCTCACGCGGAGCGGAACTAGTGCTGCGGGTCATAGTGGCCGCAACAGGACCAGGACCAAGCGAAGCAATCGCGGGATCCACGGCTGGATCGGCCGACGAGCGGTGCGGACCGGGCGGGGGAGGAGTAACCGACTGGGTAGGAGGAACGAGAGGAAGGGGAAGAGCAATGGGACCCTTTGGCTTGACAGGCTCCTCCTTCTTGGTCTCTTCCTTCTTGACCTCGTCCTTCTTGGCCTCGTCCTTCTCGGCTTCATTGGGCGGCGGCTCCTCTTTCTTGGGCGTCTCCTTGCGTACGGGAAGTCCAGTGGAGCCACCCTTGCGCGCGCCAGGAGGAACATACGCATTGGGGTTGCGCGTAACGCCCGAGTACTTTTCCTCCTCGTCCTTATTGTCCTGTGTCTGCTGGCCACGCTCCTCTGCAACGTGGGGGTTGGCCGATGGTTTCTGCTAGTCAGCCGCGATCCACGCCGCACAAACTCACGGCCATCATCTCGGCTGCGAGTCTATCCGCGTCACGCTCGCGCTTCTTGTAGCCAGGGCCAGAGCGGTCGAGCTTTGTCGTATAAATCTCTTCGTCATAGTCGGTAGTGACACCAAACAGGCGCTCGTTGTCCTTGAACTGATCCCATGGAATGGAGCTGGGCTTGGCGCCAAAGGTCAGAATGTCGCGGTCGGCCTCGCGAGGGACACTGCGGCCATTGGAGGCAGAGCCGTTCGGACCGTGCTCCTCAGGCGCCCAAGGCTTAAGCTCGCGCTCAGAGCCACGCGACGTCGCCGAGATGTCCATGTCTGTCTGGAAGCCTGGGTGTCAGCGCCAGCGAGCTATAGCAATTGGGCGACTAGCGATGACTAGCGAACGACAATGGCGCGTGTGTGCTCAAGGAAGGACTTGCGACCTAAGCACAGCAGCATCATGCCCATGCCAAGTGGCAACCGTTCCGCATGCTATGGGCTATGCAGCATTTGGCCGACACAGATCGCTTGTGCCCGCCCCGTCTGCATCGTACGCACCTTTGCCCTTCTCTTCTTTGCGCATCGGAGCCGCGCCACTGTTGCTCATACGGCGCGCACCAGCGCCCGAACCGGGGACGTATGGCGTACCGCCGGCGCCGGGTGGTGCGCCGCCACGCCCAAAGGTGGGACCACCGCCAGCTCCGCCGCCTCGCCAGGAGGGACCGCGACTGATGTTAGCGTGCGTCTCAAGCAGGAGATGAGGAGACAAAGTAAGCGCAGATAGGGCGCAATGTGGCGCGCGGTGGCGCGAAATGATGCTGCCCGCGCAAGGGGGGGGCGGGGGCCGTATGGTGGCGCTAAGAGTTGGATGTAATGCTCGCAACGACATGACGCGTGTCAAACGCGGTGTGAGGGTGAGGAGAGCAAGCGGCGCGCGCTGATGGGAGGAGACTGCGCGCGGCGCGAGATATAAGAGTGTGGGAAGGTGAATGGGGTTCACTCACCGATACGAGTCATTGCCCACGGCGCCGCCGCCCCTGCCGCCGCGGCCGCGTCCGCGAGACGAGGACGAGGTCATGTTGCGGGCTTCTGTCAGTTGTGTAATGGTGTGGTGTGGTGTGGTGTTGTGTTGGGTGGATGGTGGAAGGTGGATGGGAGGGAGCCCTGGTGAGGGGCGGGAGTGGATTGAAGTTGGTGGTGATGGTGGTTGTGGGAGGGGAGAAGAGATAGAGTGGGAAGGGGAGGAGCGGAAGGAGACGAGGAGGTTGTGTTGTGAAGGTGGTGAGGATAAGTAAGGTGGGGGAGGTAGAGCGCGCGTTGTTGTAGGTATGCTCCGAGTCGCGTCGCGGGGGGGGTGGTGTAGGCGTGGGGGAGGGAGATGCGGTGGTTGTAGTGGTAGTGGTGGTGGTGGTGTGGGGGCTGTGTCGCGCGTTGAGAGAGTGGATGGGAGAGGAGACGAACTCACGGAGAGAGAATGTCGTGTGATGACAAGCTCGGGGGTGCAGAGTACAGAGTACAATGAACGAGTGTCAACGGCGGCCACGACAGTGTTGATGGGATGGAGACTGCTTTGGAGACTGCGAGGACTGCTTGGACTGACCGCGAGGCCGCGAGGGGGGGGGGGGGGACAACGACCAGCGGGCAGCGGGAGCTGAAAGGCGCGAAGGCGTCGATGGATCGGTGGCCTGGTGGGAGGGGAGACTCCAGCGCGCCCGAGCCTCCACTTCACCACGCGCAGTGGCCACGGAACCTAATCCTCAAACCATCCCTCATCCCCCTCCCCCTCCACCTCCCCCTCCCTCATACCGCACGCGATTCATCCCCCCGCCTATCCGGGGATATCGACATACCGCCGCCGCTGTGGCGTCCACCCACATCCAGCGCACCAATGCATACAGACAAATACGGTCTAGTCATGACCATGAACAATAGATATAGAGAGCGGTGTCTTGGTCCACCATGCACGTGGAATAGTCATCAGATGGGAGTGTGGATCCGTGCCGCCCACAGACAGAGATTACAGTTGGATCCAAAGTTGGGAGATCTGGGCAGCCTCGGTTCAGTAGCATGCCGTTAGGTTCGCCCGCGTCTCGCGAGGCGGAGACACTCGTCCTCGAGCCCCACGACGCGTCGCACCTCGACGCCGCCCTGCTCGAGGATCCGGACACCCTCGCACTGCACAAAGTCGGGCGGCTCCTCGACGCCAAGGTACACGATCTTGACGTGTGCGCGGACCAGCTCCAGCGCGCAGCTTGGCCCGCCAGATGTCCGGACGCTGCACGGCTCCATGGTAGCGTAGCAGGTTGCCTGAGTGAGAATGTCATCGGCGGAGGGAAGGCCCGCGGTCGACTCGAGCTCGCCCATTCGCTCGCGGAAGTTGGCGAGCGCATTCGCCTCGGCATGCGTGTTGCCTGGAATCTGGCGCGAGTAGCCGTCGGCGAGCACGAGACCTGCGGTCTCCCCAGTGATCGGGTGGGCGAAAGTCGAAAAGTGCTCCGTGAGCTGCTCGTAAAGCGGCGACGACACGGGGAGGAAGAGGGTTGATCCAACGCAGAACGCCGTCGGGGAGACGGGGCACTTGAGCGTGAGCTCGAGCGCGTGCTTCATGATCGCAAGGTTGAGAGGGTCTGACGTCAGAGCGGCCATCACAAATAAACTTACCCTCAGGCGACTGAGGTGGTGACGGCGATGGCACAGGAGGTGCGACATTTGGCGTGCCGGACACGTCGATGGTGACCGTCTCGTCCGTGTTCTTGCGCTCGTACACCTTGATCGCGGTGCTGAACGCCGCTTCGCCGGCGCGTGGGACGAGCGCAACGAGCACCTTGGCCTTCTTGCTCGCGCCAAGGGTGATTTGGATGGTGGGCGTGGAGGCCACTTCGCCCTGCGCCGGCGTCACAGCTCCGGACGCGAGCTCGGTGGCCTCGTCAACGTCAGGCGTCGCCGTCTCTTCGGCAGTGGCGGTTGCGACGCCGAGCTCGCCGAGGCGCTTTTGGTATTTGGCGATCTTGTCCGGCTTGTTCTTGCGGCGCGCAATTTTGAGCTTCTGCAGCAAGCCCTCGACTTCCTCCTCCTCGCCCTTGGAGAGCGCGATGCCCGCGTCCTTTTCGTCACGCTGGAGCGATATCTCCGCGAAGGCATCATCGGCATCGGGCGCGGAGACCTCAACGACAAAGGTGCGTTCCGTCTTGGAGGTGTTGGTGATGACAAAGCCAGCGGACGCAGGCCAAGCGCCCGCCTGGCTCGGAGCAAAGTCGAGCCTGGTCACGTCAAGCGAGAATGCAGGCATTTTTCGAACAGTAGCCTTGACAAGAACGCTCTGGTCGTTGTAGTTGTCGAGGACGTTTTCAACGGCAATGGTCTCGTTGTAGTTGCCCACCAATGACGGTGTGAACGAGAATGACGCCACTTCCTTGCGCCCAAATGCCGGTACAATTCCGTACCTGCCAAGGCCCAGTTTGAGGTTGCCGGAAGCAATGGATCCAGAAGTCCGCAGTCGGTACACGCCAACGCACTCACTTCGGTTGTGGATGACAATCATGCGCGACTTGACCTCGCCACGCTCGCATGTACCAAAGTTGATGCTTGACTGCTGGACCTCAAGCACGGATCTCACGCACGACGAGCGGATCACGAGATCGCGCACCGGCAGCTCCGACAGGTCGGCGTTTGAACCCATAATGCCGCGCAGCAGCGCATGGTCGTACTCGAGCAGCTTGATGAAGATGCGCTGCTCAGAGCGTTTGGCACGCGTGGTGATGTGGGGACGCGTCGAGCCATTTGGGGTCATGACGACGACAAGCTGGCGCGACTGCCCTGGCGGCACAGTGAGGACGCGTGCAGGAACAAACTTGCCAGCCGAGATGGTGTTGCGAAGCTCCTTGCGCAGATCAAGCAGACGCCGGACGTACTGCTCTTCCTCTTCAGGGTTGAGGTGGGTGATGGAAGTGGACGCGCGCTTAGCGTCCATATGCTCGATGGCGAGAAGGAGCTCGTCGGGCGTGAGCTTTGTGACGTCGGTGAGGCAGGCAGGGTCCGACTTGAGCTCCAGCCGTCGGCCAGTAAGGGCGGGGGACTTGTTGCCGATGGGCTGCTTGACCACTGGCGTGCGGAGATGCGACGCGGAGGGGCTGCCAGGGGGCCCACCATTAGCCTTTGAGATCTGCTTCGTGGGCGTGGAAGGATCAGCGCGCCGTGTAGACGGGTCGCGTCGGCTGCCACCTGCCGTCGATTTGGGCTTACGCAACCGGCCCTCACGACCGTCCTTGCTGACAAGACCGTTAGATTTGGCAGATGCGGCAAAGTCGAGCTTGAGCGCCTTGGGATGCTGGCCTGAAAGCTTCGACTTGTCCTCCAACGCGATAGTCTCGAGCGTGTGGATACGCTTGGAGTTGGCTCGACACCTGCTCGCAGCGATGGGTGGCCCTGCAGCTAGGTCGAGATGCTCGAGATCGTCAAGCAAGCTGCGGTCCTTGAACACAACCGCGTCGCCGTACAACTGCACCGGCTTGCCGCGGTTGCCCTTCCTCAACGCGGTGTAGAGAACCGTGCCAACGTCCCGCTTATCCTCGTCCTTGTTGGTCCTCTTGATCGACTTGTGACGCGTCGCCACCTTGGTCTTCTCCTTGTTCTCGCCCGAGTTCTGGTCCTGAAGTGACTCGACAAAGCGCTCCTTGAGGTTGCCATTCTGCGGGCGCTCTTCGGCGGGCACGGCGTACTTTGCCACAACAGAGGGGCGATCAGGCACCGTCGGCGCGTCCGTGTCCTTGATATACAACTCGAGATCTTCAGAGTGCGATGCCGAAAGGTCCAAAGTGAGAGGCTTGTGTGTCAAGTTCTGAAACTGGACCGTCCGAACCGAGGGAGAATTGATGACGACAGACCCAAAGTCAAGAAAGTTGCTACCGCCGGGCGTGAGGATCCGGTACAGGTGCGAGTGCAACGTGACGTTGTACACATCCACATTCTTCGAGTGGACCTCGATGAGCTGGTTGTTGGCGCGGTTGAGGTGGTTGCGCACGAACACCTGCTTCTCGTAGTTATCATTGATACGTCGTGGGAAGAAGTCGACGCGCTCCTGCACGGTCTCGAAGGGCGGGATGATAATGACGCTGCGGTTCGTATTCAGCACCTTTGATATCGCGGCGATCTCGACGCGCGCGGATAGTGCGCTGAGGTTCTGAATCGAAATGGTCGTCGACTTGGACGCCCCAACAGTCACCTCACCAAAGTCGATGTTGTGGCCGGACGGGATGGCGATTATCGACGTGCACGACTCGGCCGTGCAGTGGATGACCTTGCGCGACCGGGGGATAGGGCGCGAGCGCTGCGAGGACGGTATCGAGTCCAGGAACACCTTGAACGAAGACGGTCGCAGCGCGCCGGCTATTTCGGGGGCGTTCCGCAAGTCGCGGGCGGGACGGTACATGGCGAACACGCGGTACTCCGTCCCCGGTCGCATGGTGAGCTCCTCGATCTGGTTCGGGATATCGCGGTCGCCGAGGTTGTCAGAGGGACGAAGCTCGGCCGCGGCAGCAGCGAGGGAGTCGTCCTCGTCCGAGTCGGGATCGTCCCGAGACGGGCGGTTGCTGGAAGCTATGGATGTGACACGTGATAATGGCCTACTTGACGGCATCGAGCCCTCGCGGTCGCTGAGGGGGGCGTGCATCTGGAACCACTCATCGGTCTCGAGGTGACGTGATGTGGAAGGGTCGCGCGGGCGCCCGTCGCGCGTGTCCCTCGTCGAGGTGCGTGAGAGCGTTTCCGTGCGCTTGTCGCGTGCCGGACGGGTCGGCATGTCCTCGTCGATATCTTCGCCCGCAACGCCAGCAAGTCGGAAGACCACCTCATACCCTTCCGTCGCAGAGAAGTGAACATCAATGGGCCTGTCACCGATGTTCTTGCACGACACGAGCTTTTTGGCCCATGTGCCGTCAGGAATCTGCCCAAAGTCGAGCGCCGACCCGGACAGGATACGAAGAGTGTCGTCTGTGGCTTCTGTGTGGCATGATCCCACTGCTTGGCACACGACAGCATTGCCACTCTGATGATTGTTGGAGAGGCGGAAGTCAAACTCAAAATTGGCGATAGGCGCCTCAGCGCGTAGAGTGAGCCGAAGATGCCGTGATGAGAGGGGCGGCAGTGGCACTGGCTCGCACGAAGTGTCAACGCCAAAGACATTTTCCGAATCGAGGTCACGAAGCAGGAACCACACCGAGTCCTTGAACGGCGCGTTCGTGATCGATGTCGTCCACACGAGGTCGATCTCGGAGCGGTTCACAAGGAGGAGGTCGCGGTGATAGTCTTGACCGACGACGTTGTCGGTACCAAAGTCGATAGGCAATTGGCCTGTTGTGATTTGAGGCCCAGAAGCGAGGCCTGTCGCGGGGTCAATGACACCCAGGGAGAAGAAGGAGCGACACACGGTCGCAAAGAACGGCACGGTGACGTTCTGATGGGCAGGGGCAGTCATGATGTCGTTCTCCGCCGTGGTCGCGTGCACGAGGATCGACCCGTGTACCGAGAAGGAGCGGTGAACAGGCTCCTGTTTCCGTTGCGCGCTGCTGCTCCCCACGGAGAGTGTGGAGGAAGACAACATCGAGGTTGACACGGATATAGTATCGGACTTGGCTAGGCTGGAGCCCGCCGCTGCGGGAGGTAACCTGCCGCTGGGCGGAGACGATAGCTCAGAGCTGGTTGCGAGGGGGGCGACTCGCGGGGTGAATCCACCCTCCGAGGAAGGGGTAGACATACCCGCAGGCGTCGAAGGTTGCGATGTTGTCGGCTGAAATGCTAGGAAGACGGTCCGAACCTCACCTGCCTTGAGGGACATTGTCACCGACTGTGCTGCGTTGGACGCCGCCGAGGACGCCGATGAAGACGAGTCAGCTTCTGGCTCGTCATCGGCGACCCAAAAGACCACCTGGGAATCGAGGTCGGATGCAACCTCGACATCCACTACGCCCTGAGACACGTTGCGCAGACCAAACGAGCGCACTTTGCGCTGCCCGCCAGCGGCGTCGAGGTATGTCGATTGCAGGTGGATCCAACCGCTCGGAATGTCTGTGACCTGGACAAGCGTGTCCTGAGAGAGTGCCAAGCGGGATGCCAAGGACTGGGGCGGGCGCGCGGATGGCGAGCTGTTGCTGGACGTGTTCGAGCCTGGTGGGGGCACGGGGGGTGGCAACATGCTGTTGATAGGGATGGGGTCGGAGTGGGCGGGTTTGTCATCGTCTTTACTTTCAGGCTGAGAGCATGAGCCCGATGCGGCGGAAATGTACCCCTCTGCGAAGCCGATGATGCCCTTGACGCCGGCTTCGACTGCGTGTTCCAGTGACTGGACCAGCTGGGACATCGTGCGAGGTCCTAGTTGTGATTGGGGATGCGGTCAAAGTGTGCGGACTTGGGGGGAGGGCAGATGTGAGGGGGGGAGGAGAATGAGAGGAGAGGAGTAGGATGATCGTCGGAGGTAGTAATCGGGGAGAAGACTTTCGGCGAAGGCTTCAGCTGTGTCGACGATATATGTCGAAGCTGAGGGCGGGGTAGCGCTGGTGGCGCGTCTCGCTCAGTGTTGACGATTCATTGTGGACTGTTGGGGGGGAACTGTCACGCGAGCACGACGCTACGTGCGATGGATAGAGCGCGAGGCCTGATAGCCAGAGGGCTGCAAGGCAGTGGGCGGGGCGAGTTGGGTGTGGGGCTGAAAAGCGGGGAAGCCTGGGCGCGGTCTGTGCGTTGCGTGGCGATGCGATCTGATGCAAGAGCGAGATGGATGGAGGGATGGAGGGATGAGTTGGCGCAATCTTGGTGCCCTCTTGATCTCTTGAATTGGCAAACTACCACGATGCAACTTTGTCAACAAGGTGCCACCGGGTTGGGGTCCACCAAGGATGCGATGGGGAGCGGAGAGTGGTCGCACGAGTAGATGGATGTGTCGTGTGCGCGTGTATGGTGGGGGGGAGGAGGAGATGCAAAGGGGATAGATGTGGGTTGTGGGGGGATACGTGAGTGTCCTCTCCAGTTAGGGAAGGAAATGAACAGCGACGAGGTCGCGTGCCGACGAAGGCGGAGGTTGGGGGAGTGGGTGATTAGAGCGTGGGTAGTGATGGGGATGAGGAGGAGATGGGAGGGTGTGTGAGAGGGGGGGGGGCCGATGGCGACGGAGTAGTGTTGAGCAAGCTGGAGATGGAAGGAGGATGCGATGATGGCCGAGGTGTCGAGAGCGAGCGGGGAAAGGCAAGGAGCTTGCCAAGGAACGGATTGGCCGTGTTGATTGCAGACTTGTTCTTTCTTTGTGATTGTGTGCCTTGTTATTAAGATTATCAATAATACTAATACTCGTCGTCATCGAATACACATGCACCGTCAGCATTATTACTTTACTCCAGCAGCAAAGAATTGCTCCTCAATCCTCGGCTCATTTCCGCACCTCTCTTCACTCGAGCCTTCCAGCTTCCAGAGCATTTTCTTGCGTTCCATGCACTTGTTGCCGGCCCAAACTCCCTACGGCCGCCGGTCACCCGCCCCATGCTCCCATGCTGCCCATGCAGGCCACGCGGGACAGGGTCAGGCCCCGGATCACTCGCCATGCACCAGCCAAACACATCCGCGTCATCGTCATCAACTCATCTCATCACCTCTCCGCTCCAGCTCACTCATCCTTGCCTGCCGCTTCTCATCCGCCCCACAATGATCAAGGCTTCCACATCCCTCTTCTAATCATGACTGATCATGATCCTCAACAACTCCCAATCTCTATCTATGGCTGTTTTGATGCATTACCGGGGCATGTACCTATATACTCCCGCCTACAGACATCTAGCCGATGGCCGACTCCCGCCACCAGCGCATGCGCGTTGCGTTGCATTGCGCCTCGTCGTCGTCGTCGTGTTCGCGTCCCAAAGTTTGCCGCCGCAGTGTGCCGCCGGCTAAAACGCATCTAGTCGCTCTCTGTACGTCAGTCAGTCCATGCCATCAGCTGCCTCGAGACCCCTGGGTGATCGGTGCACGACCATCACCCTGGAGACTTCGCGTTACGCACCAGAAATGAGGGCGAGAATCATGCTGCGCGTTAGCTTCTGTTTCTGCGTGCGGCGTGGAGCTCACCGGTAGAGGTAGTAGAAGAAGGAGATCAAGTAGAAGCCGAGCTTGATAAAGCTCTCCTTCTTGTGGCCCGAGAGCGTCCGGAAGATCTCTGTGGCGTCGTACATGTGGTTCTTCTGCATGATCCTGCATGTTAGCGTGACGGCGAAGAGGAGGGCGTACTTGTTGACGTTGAAGGCGACCAGGGGCGCATTGAGGAGGAACGCAAGCCACTGTCCCGACAACAGGAAGAGGAGGGTCAAAAAGGCGTGGGCGATCATCTCGGGAAGCACAAACTGGCGTCAGCTATTTCAGAGGGCGGCGCACTTGATTGAGCTTGTTGCAGAGGTCAATGGGGTTGATGTAGTCTGCGCGTCAGTTGGGGATACTACCGATATGGCTGTTGCGGCTGCAAGAAACGCACCGCACTCGAGATCAGAGAACATGATGATCTGGGGTTAGCCAGGGGCTCGGAAGTCAGTAGCCAGAACGCGCAACGCACAAAGAAGACCATGGTGAACAGGAGCACCGCGGCCATGATGACCGAGAAGAGGAACAGCCATCCTGATGTCAGCGACTAGAGCGCAAGAGAGAAGCTTATCGCGCGTGCAGACGCGCGCAGCTCCTCGTAGTCGGAGGGATGAGGGCGCACCTTCGCCACCCATTTTGAATTGTTGTTGTTGTTGGAGCTCGTGAGATTAAAAGGTTAGGGGCTTGAGTTGTTGGGAGCGATGAACGGGGATGGGAGGAGGATGAGATGTGAGAGTCGCGTGTCGAGGTGTACTACAGGCAGGGTTCAGGCCACCCAGGCGAGTATGATTTCATAGCCACCCCTCCTTTTGCCGATAATCCCGCAGTGCGGCGTGTTCCCTTGAGGCCCCGCATCTCGAGCTCTCCAGACGCGTTCCACCTCCACCCCATTCATCAACTCGTGTTTGTTCATCCAGCTCTCCTCTTCCTTCCCCTTCTCATCCCTCCTGATCATCTACATCATGTCCCGCGCAAAGCCAAAGCCGTACGACCGCGACCGCGACCGCGACCGCGACCGTGGCCGCAACCTCGATGCGCCGTGGAAGCACGACCTCCACAGTTCGCACTCCCTCGCCGCGCGTCTAGACCGCGGCTCTTCGTCGGGAAGCGCATCCCCATCCCTCCTCAACCGTCTCGGCGGAGGATCCGGGTCTGGGCGAGGCAAGGAGCTGCTTCCAAGCTCCACAAAGGGAGGGATGTACGGCTTCGATTCGAAACCCAACGCCGGAGTCGAGCTGCTTCCTTCAACGCCTTCCTCCAAAACTGCCCAGCCTTCCCGCGCCCGCCGAGGACAGGCTGGCGACGAAGCAGGTCGCACGCTGGCCGCAAAAAGCATAGCAGCGATTACGGGGCGTGTACGTGACCGCGACACTCTCAGCATTGTCGGCGCGGCGCGTAGCACTTGGGTGAAAGTAGAGAGACTCGCTAGGGGCACGACGGCGGAAGATGTCAAGGTGAGTTGCCCGAGCGTTGTTGATGCAGGGATGCGCTGACAGCAGTCGGCTTTCGCCCACCACCCTATTGGTGGCGCACGAGTTTCGTCTCGCCCATCCGACCGCACCGTTACGGTCGAGCTCGAGATGCCTGACCGTGAGGCCGCGCTCGCGGTTGTGAAGGAGTACGATGGTGTGCCGGCCGACGGGGAGACGCTGCGCGTGGCACTGGTCGGAGCTAGAGATTTGGGCGCGCGCCTGCGTCGTGATGTTGAGCCTGAGAAGCCAAAGCAGCCCGAACGCACGGGGTGAGTGATTTTGTGCGCCAGCGGCCTTCAGCCCAGTTTGGGTAAGGGGGCAGTTGGGCCAGTTCATGTGTCAAGACAGCCGCTGACAGCAGCAAAATGTACGCTGATCAGATTGCGGATGCCCCAGTGATCACCGTGCCCCAGGATCGCAGGGAGGCAAGGGTGGACCGGGGCGGTGGCTCGCTTGCGTCGCGGATGGGACGGCGCTAGGCTAGGTGCGACGATTCTCACATTCATTCCGGCCGGTGGCTACGATCTGGAGGCGCAGGGCGACTCTGGCACAATGGACCCACGACGCGTGCGCACACGCAGCTGTTGTACGATATGCAATGCCTGTCTCTTCTTCACAGCATACAATCGATCGCATCTGTCTACTCCAACGTACACACAGCGGTATGAAGCCACAGACCAGAACCAGAGTCAGGACAAAATCACTACTTGGGAACAAGGACGGCGCAGAGCACTATAACGAGAATGACTGCAATGCCAGCAAGGACGGCACACGCGATCGCGCACCGCCGCGCATACTTGAGCTCGGTCTATCGTCAGCGCGCCCGCACCGCACCCACCTCGCGCACGATCGACAGCATCTCCACGACCGTCTGCTTCTTCTCCTCGTCCGCGCCGTCGTACTTGAGCGGGCTCCAGAGGCTGGCGTCAGCTGGCTACGCAGGAACGCACATAAACATCCCGATGACCCAGAAGGGGGGGAAGAAGAATCCCCAGCGCCACAGCGTCGCGGCGAGCGTGATGGGTTCGTGTGTCGCCTCGTAACGCGGCAAGCGTTCGCGCGTATCCGGCTCGCCGACCGCGAGGGATGGCTGCGAACGCGAGGCCGAGCGCGAGGCGTCGCTGACGAGCTCGACGGTCGAGTAGCGCGGGAGGCCGCCGAAGAAGGGCGCGTGCGAGTGCGTCGATGGGTGCGAGTGCGCGCTCCCGTTGTGCCGGTGGTACGAGCTCGGCGGGGTGGGGGTCACGGGCGGCGAGGGGGGCGGGGTGCCGCCGCGCCGCGGCGGGTCGACGGGGAGCGTGTACGGCCGGGTCTGGGAGGCGGCAGAGAGCGTGCTCAACGCCGACATGGAGGAGACGGAGGGGCCGCGCGGGCGCGGCGGCGGCGGGGGGAGGGGTCCGTCGTCGAGGAACGCCATGAGCTCGGCGTTGCGCCGCGCGGGCCGCTTCGTGCTCGCGCCCGGCGGCGCGGAGAGGGGCGCGGACGCGCTGCCGCAGCTCGTGTCGATGCTCAGGGCGTGTCCGAAGTCTGCGTCCAGCATCGAGGGGACGGGCTTGCGGCGGCCGCGCGAGGCGCGGAGGTGCGCGGTGGCGGGGCGTTGTGGGGAGGCGGGGGGCGGGGACAGGATGTCCGTCTCGGACTTGGAGCGCATCATGCTCTCGCCGAGGAGGTCGGGCGGGGGCATGGAGGACGTGCGTTTGGGGAGCGACGCCGTGCTCGCGGGCGCGGAGAGGGGGTCGTCGAGCGCGAGGGTGTGGATCGAGAGGCGGAGGGTGGACCGCTGCGGCCGGCGCGGCGGTGAGGGAGCGTGGTCGCCCATGGCGACGGTTTTGGCGGCGAGAGAGTGGAAAGGGGGAAGTGGGGGGAGTCCGGAGAGGATAGCTGTAGCGAAGAGGCAGAGATGAGGACGGGCCGGTGAGCGAGGAGCCGAGGATGGACGAGATGGGCTGGGTGGCGGGGGAGGGGCGTGCGTTTAATATGGAATGTCAGTGCGTCGTCACCGCGTGTGTAAGTGCGCTTTTGCGTGATCGAGCGATGTTTACGCAGCGCGCAGCGGGCGGCGAGGTGGGCACACGGGGCCGGCGGCCGGGCTGTGTGGATGGTGACGGCTGACTGACCAAGCCAGCGGCCAGCGATCTGGTGATGAGTGAGTGAGTGCTGCGGGTAAGAGGAGTAAGAGACAAGCGCGGTCCGGGCGTCGCCAGCTCCCAGTCGTCGTCTACGGCCTGGAGACGATTGCGGCGCTGCTTGCATCCTCGGAAGAGCTAGTGGCATGTCAAAGTTTGTGATATGCAAACTGAGGATCCCTGGTAGAGCTCGGGGACGCTCATTATGTTGACGAATAGCACGCTGTTGTTGGCGAGCCCTGGTGGTCCGAGCGTCATTATCGGCCGGGGTCGAGCACAAGCCAAGCCTGCCGTCGCCATCCGCCGTCAGAAGACAAGTGCGCAGGGGTTACCTGGGACATGCGACATAGCGGGGGGGGCGTTGACGGGCGTCAAGATCTGGGGAGATGAAGTGGGAGGAGGACAGAGTGAACAAGTGCAGAGTGTGGAATGGAAATGAACAACTGCGTGCGGAAGACAAAGAGTGGAGGCGACGACGAATCCTGCGGCGGCGCGGCGGACGCTCAAAACTGAAAGAGCTCAAATCTCGCAAGTGGTTACAGCCTCTGCCTCTTTGGTCGATTCACAGATCCGAAGATGTACGCTCAATTGATCACTTGCAGATACATGGGCGCGCAAGTGTTTCGCACTTCATCTGCGGCTATGCAGTGTCCAGCATCCACCTCTCACTGATGGACTTATGGACTTGCAGATGTTGATGCCTGGAAGTACGGATATACACAGCTCCCTGGCCACGTGTCGGATTGCTCCCGCGCCGCCTCCTCCGACATTTCGACCACCGACTTCACTCGCGCAAAGAACAACTCTACACACCCCGCCATGCCGCCACCATCCCTCACGGGGCTGCTCACGCGCCTGCGCGCGCCGATTTTCAACACCCTCGCGCCAGAGTCCAACGCGCGTACCGGCACAAAGTACCTGCGCCGCCGGCTCCGCGGCCCCGGTATGCTCGCATACATCCGCAAGGGTGTCAGCCTGCGGACACTGAACGCGTACGTACCGTGGAACAAGTACGCGGGCTGGGACCGCGAGCGCCCCGACGGCAAGGCGTACCACCTCCCTCCCAGCCAGGCTGTGCCGCCCGGATTTGAGGAGATCCCGCGCTACCCGAAGCCCGGCACAGCAAACAAGCCGAACGGGTGGCTTGAGAGCGGACGGGAGATGGAGCGCTTCGACGATGTCGCACGGCGGCGCAAGATGGGCAAGGGGCCCGTCAAGAAGGGTGAGTTGTTGAAAGCAAAAGCGCTGATGATCAGGCGAGGGCAAGCGCGCCCAGATGGCCAAGACCAAGAAGAAGTTCTAGGTCCATCACATCCAGTCCGTGAGTCGCTATCACTATGTGCGGAGTCGAAGTATATATAGCTAACCGCAGTCCCACACTATGCATTATATCTCACCGTCCGGGCGAGGTCTCAAAGGTCTCACCGCGGGATGCACTCATCGAGACCGGGCACGAAGCCGTAGCGGCAGGCTGTGATCTTGCAACGCCCGTCGACGCAGCGCGCCCCGCCGCGAGCGACGCCGCGGAGCGTGGTACAGCTGGTATAAGCCCGGCGGGTCAAGGAAATACTCACTCTTCGCCATTCTCGCTCCCCGGCACGCCGTGCACGCCATGCAAGCACCCGCCGCACGACTCTGCCGTCAGCCTGCCTTGACCAAACTAACCAAGCTCAGCCCGCGTGTCGATGCACTCCCACCCGTCCGTCCCGGCGACCGCGCATGCAATCATGGGCGCGGGGCAGAGGCCGGCGAGCACCGTCTGCTGGCGCCGACGGTGCGGAGAGGGCGTCGGGCGGTGGTACCATGGCCCATCCTTGTCCGTGCAGTTGCCCGGCGTGATGTCCGCGGTCGGGACGCAGTGGCAGCCCCAGCCCTCCTTCGGGGGCGGAAGGGGGCGGATCGCCACCCACCCCTTGTCGCACGACTCAAGGCACTCCGAGGGGGACATGCAGTCGGTGCCGGGAGAAGGGTAACAGCCCTTGAACGCCCAGGTGGTTGAAGCCACCGCGAGGGTGTACGCCGAAGGCGGGCATGTGCTGTCGCCGCCGCCTGAGTAAGTGGAGAGGGAACGAGGAGTGCTCACCGTTCACGATGTGGTTGGCGTTGATGCCGTCCAGGTTGGAGCTGCAGAGGCAGGACGAAGCGGAAGTGAGGGCGTACGTGAAACCTTGGGCGGCGCAGGTCGCGGCGCAGACGTCAACGGGCACGTCGACAGGGGTCGCGGCGTCAGCTGCGACCATGGTGGCGACCCGAGTCGCGTCGACGCAAGCGACGAATGCTGGGCCTGCCGCGCGCACGGAAGCGATGAGCAGGAGAGAGAGGACGAGCATCGTACAGTTTGGTGGGGTGGGCCGCGCCAATTGCACACTTTATGGTTCTCATGGCAGCTCGCGACGGCGTAAGTCAGAAGGGGCGTGAGCTCAGTGACGTCCACCGTGACTGCAGCGTCGACGCTGTGCTACCTCCCGTTGGACATGGCGCCCGCTCCGGCGGCAAGCGTCCTAGTGAGAAGTGAGGAGATTGGCATATTCGCGCGATGAGTTGTATGATGGGGTTAAGGCGCGTCTGTGGGTGGATCAGCGTTTGTGAGGACACGAAGCAGTGCTGTTACACATGACCGTGGATTTCGGGCTACATTGTGCTTCTGCTATCAGATGCATGCCGGCCAGAGATAGCACAGCATCTCTCACGAAGGCGACAGATATCGGCCCGCCCTGCTGAAAGCGGAGTGGATGTGCGGACTGAATGAGATTAGCGGGACAACCATGCTCCCTAATACCACCCTAATCGGGTGTTGAGCGGAGGAAGCGGACTCTTCCGCGTCTCCGCCCCGTCCGAGTTGATCTCGGCAGCGTTTTTCGACTCAACCGACCGGCGCGACCGGGCCCTCCGTCTCCGCCTTCCGCCCGCTGCTTGGCCCCACATCGCCCCCGTCTTCTCGTCTTCGTTCTTGACACTACTCATCTCCAACTCTCCAAAATGGCCCCCCAGCAGCCCATCAAGGTCGGTATCCTCGGTGCGACGGGCACCGTCGGCCAGCGGTGAGTTGTTTACGATAGTCCTCAGGGCGACTGCGAAATGCGCCAGAGGCCAGATCAACGGTCTACCATCGCGCCCCGCTCGGGCACGACAGCTATCTCTTCAGCGTCAAGACGGAGGCAGGCGCCGTATGACGCTGCGATGGTGTCAGGTTGCATGCTTGGTGCCGCTTGGTGCCGCCCGACACAGCACTCGCAGTCGGCAGTGCACGGCCTGGCTTTATCAGCTCGGCTGATCCACCGTCGCCTCGCCCTTGTCTCGCTCCAGGCCTGACTCCGTCGTACCCATCATTGTTGCGCCCACGCTCCCCCTGCTAACCCAAGCTTCATCGAGCTCCTCGCGCCCCACCCGTACTTCCAGATCCATGCGCTCGGCGCATCCTCCCGCTCGGCGGGGCAGGAGTACGCCAAGGTGACCAAGTGGAAGCTTGCGATCCCCATCCCCGAGAGCGTGCGCACGATGGTCGTGCAGCCCTGCGAGGTCGCGCCGTTCCAGGACTGCGGCATCGTGTTCTCCGGCCTTGACCACGACGTCGCGGGCGACATCGAGGCTGCCTTCCGCAAGGCCGAGCTCGTCGTCTTCTCCAATGCCAAGAACTACCGCCGCGACCCCATGGTTCCGCTCATGGTGCCCCTCGTCAACCCCGAGCACTTTCCCGTCGTGCGTTACCAGCAGAAGCAGCTGGGCCTGCAGAAGGGCTACATCCTCTGCAACGCCAACTGCTCGACGACGGCGATCGTGGTGCCCCTGAAGGCGCTCGAGGTCAAGTTCGGCCCGCTGAAGCGCGTCATGGCCACCACGCTCCAGGCCATCTCGGGCGCCGGCTACCCCGGCGTCAGCTCGCTCGACATCCTCGACAACGTCGTGCCCTACATCGGCGGCGAGGAGGAGAAGATCGAGTGGGAGACGAGCAAGATCCTCGGCGGCCTCCTGCCCGGCGACGAGGGCTTTGACCTGCACGCCAAGAACCCGCTCAAGGTCAGCGCGGCGTGCAACCGTGTCCCCGTCATCGACGGGCACCTGGCATGTGTCTCGGTCGAGTTCGCGGCCGAGAAGAAGCCCAGCATCGACGAGGTCCGCGCCGCCTTCGCCGAGTACACGACCGAGGCCCAGACGCTCGGCTGCCCCTCCGCCCCGGCCCAGGCTATCGTGCTCCACGACTTGCCCGACCGCCCGCAGCCCCGCCTCGACCGTGACCTGCATGCCGGCGCGTGCGTCTCCGTCGGCCGCGTGCGCGAGTGCAACCTCTTCGACGTCAAGTTCGTGTGTCTCCTCGACAACGTGCGTCTCGGCGCCGCCACGAGCTCGGTCATGAACGCCGAGCTCGCGGTCGAGAAGGGCTTCCTCTAGACAAATTGTAGATATATTGGTCGCTGTCGGGACTGGGTCATGCATGTGTTTCGCCGCAGATGCAGGCACCGTTAATTGCCACCCAACCTCCACCGCAAAATTCAACGACACCCATTTCGTCATTCACATTGCTTGCCGCCACTCTGCCGGCGCGGCCATGCTGCGCTGGTCTCGACTCTCACGCTGGCGGCCACTGCGTCCGTCAACATTGCAGGTGCGCGGCGTGCGCAATCGGCCCCACGTGGACAAGAAGCGCGGAACGACGTTCACGGAGGTCATTGATGGACGGGAAGTCGAGCGCACCATCTACAATACGCCCGAAGAGTTGGCGGAGGTGCAGGCGCGGGCGCGGCGCGAGATCGAGGCGCTGCTGGCCAACTCTCGGGTTGAGCTCGAAGACGCAGAGGGCGATGACGGTGGGGAGGAGGGAGAGGATGCGATGAGAGACGGGGTGACGAGCGCCGACGACATCAAGACCGTGCACGTCGTCGATGGGAGGGCGGTTGAGGTGGAGCGCCGCAGCGTGGAAGAGGACGAGGAGGATGGCAATGATGCCGACTACAGCCCGTCACCGAATGCCAACTATACCGTCCGCAAGGAGAAGCACCTCGTCCATGGTCAAGAAGTGGAGACGGAAATCTACACGTTTCCCGCGCCCGGCCAGAGCGTCCGAGAAATGGACGCGGAGGAGCGCATTGGCGATGAAACGTCCTCGACAGCGGAGGAGGAGCACGTTGCAGCAAGGACGGTTCCCGCAACCGAACCACCGTCCGACCGCGGTGGGGCCAGCGCAGAAGCCTTGCCAGGCGCTACGATGAGCCTGCGCGAGCCAGCCCCCGTCCACGTCGAGCCTGGGATCGCTTCTTCCGACGCCGATTCACCATACCGCTACTCCTCGGAGCACGACTCCAGCGGCTACGACATTGACATCAACATCGACATCGAGGGCGACAACCCCAGCGACTACACTGTCGAAATTGAGATCGAGCCGGCCTCTGAGCCCTACATCGGTCCGCACGGCACGGCGATCCAACACCAGCGATGGATGGAGCGGCACCTTTCCGCGATCACGGACGGAGAACGCACATCAGACGTGAGCACGCCGCTCCGCGCAGCGCACGAGTTTCTCGACGGCCAAGCCGGAAACATGGAGGAGCGGTCCGAAGCGTACTGGCGCTTCTTGCGAGAGTTTCTCAAACACCCTCTCGGCGGGCGTCCTGCACTCGACCTCGTGCGCAGGCAGGCGGCGGAGGGCGTGCCCTTCACCGTCGCAGGCGCCATCACCGCTTTCAAGGCGGCCAGGAACTTCCGCCCGGTGCTGCGCGAGCTCCTCCCTATCCTGCCGGCGGAGATGACGACGGAGCTTATCTACATCTTCGCTGTGGCGCTCGTGAACGAGCAGCGCGTCTCTCCTGACGCTGTGAGGGAGCTGATCGGGCAGAGCTTGGCGGCTGTCCGTGGGGATGAGCGCGGAGTGGAGGGGCCGGCGGGGACTCTACCCGACGCCTCTTTCAGTCCATCTGGTGCACAGAATGCCGCGTCCGCACAAGCGGCTCCTTTCCCACACGCGATGCGGACCCCACCGAGCAAAACGCGCGCCGAGGTGGCCACCATTGAGTGGAGCCCAGAACTGTTCTTCCCCGTCATCCTGGCCCACGTCCCGCACGCCGATTTCCGTGGCGTACTACGAACGCTCAACGACCTCCGCGCGGCCGTGCGCTTGCGACGTGAGCGCACGATCGCCGCCGGTGGAGCGTGGCCAGGCGAGAACGCGCAAGCAATTACAAAGTGCTATACAGCAGTCATGAGCCTGTGGCTCCGCTCGCAGCTGGCCGAGGAGAAGAGCCACCTCGGGCGCGTCGGCCGGCGGCTCGGCAGTGCCGTACCGCACCGCCTCGCGGTGGATCTCGGCAACCTCCTCGCTCCGGCTGCGGGCGTTTCTGCGCCAGAGGCAGGAGGTAGTATCGTCGCCGCGGCGGCGGAGCCGATCCTTGCGCTGGATCACGCCCTCGACGCCGCCGATACCGCTGCGATGCGTGATGAGAAGTACCACTTCCGCTACCCCTTCCTGAGCGCGTGGTTCAACGCAGAACGCGTGGCAGGCAATGTAGGGATAGCTTCGGGCGTGTGGGCCCTGCTGTCGGGGCAGAGCATTGCCGCCAGCGTAGCTGGGCTTCGCCCTCCACGCACACCCACTGCGGAGGCGTATGTCGCCCTCTTCCGCCTGCTTCGACAGTACCCGCCGGCGTCGTATCGGCCTGTCGCCTCTACTGTCCTCGAGGGTGAGGTAACCACCGAGGTTCTGAACATGATGCTCTCCGCGGCCAGCTTTGTGCCGAAGCGCGCACGCACAGACTGGGCGGCCCTCTCGCCGCCGTGGGACCCGCCTGGCCGCCAGCCGTTCCCCGCGCCGGCGCACGTGCCCTCGCCCGACCTCCCGCTCATCTTTGTTCTCGCAGAAGAGCATACACACCTCATGAACCACCAGAGCGTTAACATTCTCTGTGCGGCGCTGCTGCGCGCCGCGCGCATCATTACGGCCGCGCGCGGAGCCGAGCACCCCGTGCTCCTTTCTGCGCCTGAGTCGGCGCTGACGATGGCCGAGTGGAAGTGGCTTGAGCAGTCGCTCTGGGCGACGGAGATGGCTGAGGCGCAGCGGACGAACCGCGCCGCGCACAAGCCCCCGCCCATCCCCGTCGACGCCGCGGATCTGTGGGACACAGAACGCTGGCGCGGGCAGATGGCCGAGGGGGAGGGGCGCGCGCGCTGGTTGTTAGTAGACCACGTCGTGCGCCCGCTGCGCCGGCAGCTCGTGGAGAGCATGATCGACATGGCGCGCCTGCGCGGAGAGAAGGGGAGCAACGCCGAGGTGTTTACGGCCGAGCTGCGGACTCTGCAGGCGCACATGCGCCCGCTGGACAGCAGCGCGGTGGGGGAGGACAGGGCGCGCGCGCTCGCGGAGGAGCTCGGGCTCGTCGTGCCTCCGCCTGCGTTCGTCAAGGGCCGCAAGGACAAGTTCAAGAAGGGCAAGGGGCGGAGGGCCAAGGGCCTGACGCGGAGCGCTGCGAATAAAAGCGCGCTGGACAACTTCTTTGCCATGATGGACGAAGAGTAACTGTAGAGCATAAGACAGCCAATGTATCACCACTTTGCATATACGCGTCGCGCAGCGTCTTCGTCGACTGTCAGTGACGGGACGGGACCGGTGCGCGCACAGTGTCCCGTGACTATTCGCGGAATACCGCACAGGTGCGGGCAACGTTGCGGAGGCACGAAGGCGACGATCAGGCCCGTCCCGGTGCCACCGCTGTGGTGCCTCGCAGATCGTCCCACCGCAACCTTAATTGCAACCAAACCCGAGATCCCTGGTTGCCGTGCAGCGACGCGACAAGGTACTCCAGTCGCCGTTACGTGTCGAAGGTGGCGCTGCTGCAGCAGCTGGGGGCTGACGGGATGCGTTTGGGCCACACATGATTCAGGAGGGAGCCGCGGTTGCAAGCGTGCTCCGTCAGTCCTGTGTGCGGGGCGGTAGCTATGTGGCATGATGGATGGCATGAGGTGGTGTAGATTCTAGAAGGCATGATACAACGGATACGTTATGGCTACGATATGCTTAGTCCTTGTCAGAGTCTGGTGGTTATGGGAGCATGGTTCTTGTCAGAGTCTGGTCGATGTTGGAATGGGTCGTGTCGATGTATAGTTCTTGATGGAGGCCGGGTATGCCCAATACTGGAGGATCAATGGGGTGAATATTCTAGCGCGAAAAATACTCTAGCGCGAATCGTGGAACATCGGCGGAGGCAGCATGTCGTGGTCGTGCATTTGCGGTTGAGGCTGTGCCATGGGCAACGGAGCGGGCACGCTCATGACGCGGGGAACGGCCGGGGCTGGCGAGGGGCTCGGCACTCGCGCGCCAATATACGGTGCCGAGGTGGGCCGCGAGACAGGCATCGACAAGCTCATGCCCGTGCTGAGGCTCGCAGGCGCACTGGTCGTAGACATGGAACCAGAAATGTACTGCTGGTGGCCCGCGGGCTCGTTGCTCACGCCCCACCACGGGTTGGGCGTATACATCGTCTGGAGACGGCTCCAGAGCTCACTGCCGACAGCGCCGCCCGCCGTGTGCGGGGGCTCCATCATTGGCGTGTCCGCGAAGACGGACTGCGGCATTATGCCTCTCGAGGGGGCTGAGCCCTGCGGTGGCGATGCTTGGTGAGGGGACACACCGCTCGAGTAGTCAAAGTAGCCCTGGCCACCCAAGCCAAAGGGCGAAGCAGTGCCTGTAAATGACGAGGCGGAGGTAGGCATGCCGTCGTGTCCCGGAGTGTGTAGCACGGCGGGTGTGAAGTCGCGCCGTGGCGAGTCGAACATGTGCGAAGACGTGTGGAGAGCCCAGGCTGACGAGGATGAGGGGACGCCAGGGGTTGCCGCCAGAGCCTGGCTCCAGTCGAGCGCGCTTTGCATGCCGTCGCCACTGACACTGTCGACAGTGCCGCCGAGGAGGGCGAAAAGCATGTCTTCTCGTGCAATGCTGGCCGTGACGCGCCCAGGATCTTCGCCTACGACCTGCGGATACCGCCCCACAACCATGCTTTGGAAGACTGTCACAATGTTGTTCACCGCCAGCGGGCGGTCCGACGACGCGTTGAAGCCGCTCGTTTCAGACGCGAGGTGTGCGATCTCGTTGAGCTCGACCACAATCTGCCCGACAAAAGACGGCGTCATGTGTGGCCCGCACCAAATGGCGGCGGCGGCGATTGTCACTGTAGCACCGAAAAGTTTATTCCACAGTGAGGTGTGTCGGGCATTGATGCGCGGCATGGTACGCTGCATGAACCGAGCAATGCGGATGATCTTTTGCGACGTCTCGAAGGCACGCATGACGATGTGGCGGTCCCAAGACGACAGCTCGGTGTCCGGATTTGTGCGGATGCGATCAACGATGCGGCGGAGACTGGACTTGTAAACAATCACTGTTATCAGATGTATTCATGTAAATATCCACTCACAATAGCTCTGGTAGAGCGTCATGCTGACAGACGACCGCTGGATGGCGGACACGTCGAAGAGCGGGCTCGCGCTTAACTCGGGGAGCGGCTCACCGACGAGATAGGGACAATGAATCGCAGGTTGGGCCTCAGGTTGGTAGTGAGCCAGAAGCTCCTCCAGACCAAGGATCTCGTGCGACGATAGCTGGTTCGAGTCTGGGCGCAAGCCGAGTTCAATGGCGGGGTACGACACTGTGCGGATATATTCGTAGCGCATGATCGCCCACTGCGGGACGTCGGAGGGATAGCGCACCTCGACCTGCTCAATCGGGATGCCAGTGTAGTGGTTGTGACTGAGCGAGACCACGCAATCCACCGCGGTGGCCTCCCAAAAGACACGGCGGCGAAAGTTGGCCTCTCCCAAAGATAAGCAGGGGTGCGGCTCCTTGTTGAGCTGCAGCTCCTCGCACGCGGCAGTCATCCGACGCAGCCAGTAGAGGCCCGTCGATCCATTCCCCACGTCGCCGCCGCCCTTGGGCGCAAAGCTGACGAACCACGTCATGAGAGCAAGCGCCTGGACACCCGGCACTGTGGCGGCCCAGCCGTAGCGCGTGTCGAAGCATTGCTGAGCAGCATCCCAGTAGAGAGCCACCTTGCCGTCGACAGCGTCAAAGTCGCGTGCCGGGTCGAGGTATAGCTGCAGGGCGCAAACTATAAGCACGCACGCAAGCTTGTGCAGGCTCAAAGGATTATGCTCGGTGGGAGCATAGACGGATGGCTCGTAAAGAGCGTCATACTCTTCTCGGTGCAGAATAAAGTTGAACCACTCGCACTCCAAAAAGAAGCGGTCGGCAATTTCTCGTGCTTTTTCGCGCGACGGGCGAGCGTCAAGAATCCCTCGCAAGCGAATCATTACAGCTGTACGAGGAGCAGCATCGGGCCGAAAATTCGCTGGCAAGAAACTGTCGGTGGCTGCGGCCTCGGCGACATAGTCGACATCGGAGCCATATGCGAGGTTCTCGGAGAGAGCCAGCCCTTCGAGGATGTCACTCGTCTGCCCAAATGCATCCAAGGGTTGGACATAAGATGTGGATGGCTGGGGCTGCGAAGCGAAGCCCCCATCCAGGAATTCGGGGGCGAGCAGCGGGTGTGGAGCGGCCGAGACTTTACTATTCACCTGGAATAGAGCGGTTTCCAGCTGAGCAATCTGCCACATTAGTCATCATGCAAGAGGCACCCACGGTCGTCCGCCTCCTCCGACAAAAGCGGACGGTCCACACTTACCCGTTCGTGGAGCTGCTCGGTCGAGGCGAGCACAAGACGCTTGCCTTGCATGCATCCAAGATCGCCGTCTGGACAGACAAGTGCACACCCTCGGCGTCGGCAGTTGGAGCAGGGGAAGACACGGTCGCACTTGGCCTTGAGGCGACGACATTCGGCACAGCTGCGGCGCATGTCCTTTCCGGCAGGTTTGTCATCCTTGCTCTTCTTCTTAGCATACGGCGGCGATGTCCTGCCTGCCGACGTCGAAGGTCCAGGATCGGCTCGAGAGCTCGGCGTGCTGCTAGCGCGCCGGGAAGGGCCGCCACTGCTCGATATCCCAAGGCCGACAAGGGAGGAGGGGTCGATATCGTGTGGCGAGTGCCCACGGCTAAGGGCTGAAGAGGTGGCGTGGGGGGCAGGAGACAGAAAGACATGTCTTGGAATCTCGAGGATGGGGGTATGCTGGTCCGAAGAGCTCGAGCCGGCAGTAAGACGGCGGTCTATGTTACTGCGCAAACCGCGGTCCTGCATGGCCGAGTCGAGCTTGAAGATAGTGTCCAAGGTAATTCGAGGTTGGCTTGATCGTGTTGAGATAAGCCACAGTTGAATTGGTGAAGCCGATCCGGAACGGGGATGTCCGACAATCTTGATACGTCTAGAGTTTGACTTTTGAGATCGGGCTTCAGATCAGATTGAAGATTGCAGTAGGGACCCGTGCCGCCTTGTTGGTCGCCACTAGCACACTAGTGGCAGAGTCGGCAAAGGTATAAAAGCGTAACAACAACCGGTGCAGCGAAACGTGCAGCCGAGAGGAGAACCTTGTCGTTACGTAGGTGACCGCGACTTTTAAGTTTGAAGGTGGAGGACGGGCGGCATGAAGTAACGTGCTAGGGTTGGGGCTATTGCGAGGCCGTAATGTCCTCAATGGTAGCCGGAATGAGCTCAACAAATTAAGTCGAGAATCAAGTTGGGTCCTAAGTGAGTATGTGTAGGCAGGTACTTGCTGAGAATAGGTGGGGAGGTCGTGGCGGAGTGGGGGGCGATTGACGGAGAGAGTGCGGAGGTTGTCACCTCGGCGAAGCGAATCCGCGCGTCCTTTATTGCTCACCCGCGCCCTCAACCCGACGCGACCTGCGATAATACCAGCGGCTTGTCGTGACCGTCCTACGTCTGTGGTACCTAGCAACTCCGTCGCCGCGTGCTGTTGCAGCTTGCTGAGCTGCAGTGATGTCCAAGGCCGAGCGATGAATGAGGAGACCAGGCGACCAAGGCGATACCGGGGAGGATGGAGAGGGTGTGCAGCCCTTTGAAACGGAGTGTCATAATCTACTTTTTACACTGCAGCACTGCTTCCAGTTACTGCATGCTCACCGCATGCTCGGCATCCAAGTCTCATCGGCAGGGGTTCAACCCTCTGCTGTGATGCCCCAAGCCAGTGTGCACATGGAGGTTCACCACCATTGGGTGGGCAGGCCTGGAGGCAACACGTCGTGCGTCTCGAAGAGTCTTGCTGGTTCCTACTGCCGGCATCAGCCCTGCCGACCCAGCCTGGGATGCCGTCAACAGGTCCACGACACCCCGTCCGAAACGGGGTAGGTGTGAGAACAGAGCCTGCCATGTCGCATTTGTGGAGGGTCACCGAAGGGTGTTGGCGTCACGCTGATCCGGCAACAGGGCTCCGGTACAATTGGGAACGAAAATATCTGATGCATTCTCCGAGTTCATGTAACTAATGCGTCTGGACCTTGTGGCACATTCGCGATATCAAGATTCTGAATCAATATTCGACTAGTCGTAAATCGCTTGCATGCTGCATCCTCTCCTTGCATTCACGACTGGAATCTTGGGATCCAATCCGCAGAGTTGCCCGCGACCCACGAGAGTGCCTGGTGGAGAGGAGGCTGACGGCGTCTCCCAATCCTAGCTCCTTCCGTATCAGCCATATGCCGTACAGGTGATGTGCAGATGACGTGCGACGCTCTTGCTCCACGCTCACTACCTCTGACAGCCAGTGAAGATCATCAATCCAACCCTGACATGGCAGGGCGTTCCAGGGAGTTAAGCTCATGCACCGGGATACGAAAGTGCACAGAGAGGATGCAGAGGAGGCTGGTGAGCATTGCGCGCACGCAAACAGCGCGGTGCCTAGCAGTTGTGCCGAAGCCAGACGTTGGGAGGCCCACCGCCTTCACCAGGCAATTGCAGGCAAAAGCTACAGATTGGCACCGCCGCATTCCGACAAAAGCAGGCTCAAAATTGGCCGTGTGCCTTGGAGGTTCTGCCACCCCCTCCTCGCCATCCCGCCGTCGACTTTCAATACTGGAGGCAGTGCTTCTTGGAGACTAAAGTGCCTGCCGGGTGAAGCATCACTGCTAATCTTGTAGTCTACTGTTAATGCCGGGATGCATGTCAATCTGGGCGATCTGTGAGTTAGTAAGATCGGCAGGTGATCAGTGCCCGAGTGATGTGAGAGTCAGTGGCTAACCCAGCGTCCGAGATATTCCGCTTCACTCTCAACCCTTGTCGTCTGGATTATACGACGCTCTCAAATTCACGTGAGCTGCCAGACGTATCAAGAGAGCTCCACCCGAAGCGGCCGCGTGACTACGCTCTCTGCCGCGACCATAGTGGATGTGACTTACGCCAGGCACCACCCAGTTTCCGCGTTCAAGCTTACATTGATCGTCATCACATGCGTGCACCGCCCCCACCCACAGATTAGCCTTGTGTTGGGCTGGCGTGCGGAATGCTGTAGGTGCGGGTGTGGCCACGGACAAGGTCGTCGGGCAGTCACCTCAGTCTTTACCATGACAGCGGCGGCACCGAGGACTTGGCAGCTGGCATTCCCCAGGCTCCTATATCATCACTGTCCATCGCTTGCGTTCAACAAGATACCCCCTGAAAAGTTGGGATCCCGGTTGCTCGTCGCGACGCGTCCCGCGACGTTGGAGCGCTGTGGCCTTTGTCGGTACGCAGATTGGGTTAGGCGCAGTGCTTCCCGTATTCCCGCTGACGGCTAGCACTCCGAGCACCCCGGGGCCATCGGACCCAGAGTTTGACACCACGGGACGCTGTCAGGATGGCTGATGCATGTCTTGCGTGATAGTCACAGTCACAAGAGAGCACTGTTTGGACGTAGTCAGATGACTGGAATCGTCTAAGCGACAGCCAGAGCAGCCATGGACACTGCGAGCTGGAATTTGATGGAATGGTGAAACCTCACACTAGCCACTACTGTGGAGCGGCTTGCATGACGAGACGTGCACACGTCCTGGTCGTCTCAGACGCACTCCCGCACCTGTCATTCCCGTCTCGCGGTAGCGCTGAGGCCAAACGACATTTCTGTCCCCGCTCGAATATTACTGGGAGTACAGCGCGGTCATCAATCGCCCTCCGGATTTCTCGGAAATGTCCATCGTACAATACGCTGGAGTCCACATATACGGCATTGCCCCGCCTCAAGCGAACTCCGTTAATTCAGAACCGGAGACAAACCTGGATGCTGAGCTAGTTTAGCACTGCATAATGGGCTGCCAGCGTCGCCGCTTGTTGTTGGCAGTTGGGTGGACGGTACCGAGGCTTGGTGCCGCAGTGACGAGGCACCGCCCAGTATTCCGGGATGAGGTGGCTAGCATGGTGATGGAATCGCTTGCCCACTGCGAACTTTCGATGGTGGGGCGGTCAAAGTCAACCGCTTCTGGAAGACAGGTGCTGCGGTGCAATCAAATCCTCAGATCAACAGCAAGGTTAAGCTCGCGCACGGTGCTCGCGTTATGCTGCAGGTGGACGTACTGTAAGAAATGGGGGTGACAACCGCAAAAAAGTGTACACACAGGCCTCGTGTTTTCGTATGATAAATCTCCTGCAAGTGCTTGCCTCGCGGTGGCTGTTATTACCAGATGGGCGTGCCCATCCCGCCCAAGTTCAACCGAGCAACATTCCAGCTCCTTCCCCGCAAATCAGTCCGCTGCAAGTCCATTCTCCGCAAGTCGGGTTTCCTTAAGCCGAGTGTAAACATAGCCGTCATGTATGGCGTCAGCCTCCGGCCTCCGGCAACGACACTCAGGCGTTCATGAGCCTGCCGCCGGTTGCCAGGGGTACAAATTGTGAGTATGAACACGAGCCGGAATACCTCGGCTCCATATTCCACAACCGATTCTCTTATGGTCTTCCTTGTATCAAGAAAAGCATCGGCCCGAAATTATACGACTATCGGTGCAATGCCTCGGAGATGAGATGCTCACACAGGACTCGAACGGGCATGATCTGCTCCACTCTATCGTTCCGCGGCATGCCACTTTCCCATTCCTGGCCACACCGTGCCACCTGTCAGGCCAAGTCACGTTACGCATGTCCCGGGAGCTCAGAAATGCCCGTCGCGAGAAGGAGCCGGCACATGATCAGGCTCTGCTGGGCGCTCACATGGCCTGACCGCGCTGAGCGCATGCATTGACGTAACGCGACAGGACAGGTGCCTCCGGCCTCCTGCGAAAGATCGATGGATGCATACAGTCGGAGTCTCTATGTACAAAATTTTGGCGCTCTGCCCGTGTTCGTGGCACTGTCCGACGAAAAGGGAGGTTAGCATGGAGTTTACAAGACTGGTGTTAGTGGCGGTCGGGGGGCCATTAAGCTCGAACGAGTGGCGTCGAGTGTGCGTCACACTCAACGAGAAAAGAGCATCCGACGCATGCAGCGGCCTTCGCCCGTCCGCATTGCGTGCCAGCAGCTCGGCACAGGGTACTTGGTCTAGGCCCCACTTACTGGCGTTGACAATGTTCGACGCCACCGCGCTGCCGAACCCAAAGCCAGCACCGGTGACCGCGGCGTTGCCTAGCTGCCGTCAGTGATTTGCCCGTGTAGGGTGTAGGAGCGGTGCCGGAGAAACCGGAGTGGGTCGCGTCATCACTGAACACGGCGAACTGGCCGCAGCGTCGCACTTCGTTCGCGAGCGGATTGCCAGGCGTGACGTCAACCCTGGCAAAGCCGGAGCCCTGCGCCGCTGCTCCGTCTTGCCCGACACCAACGGCGCAGCAGAGGCCATAACGACATGTAACGCTCGCAAGGGTGGAGCCACAGAAAGTGGCAGTGACGCGGGGATAACAGGAGGGAGAGTAGAAGGTGGCCACCACATGGTCGGCGCCGCCGGCTTGTTACGCATCGGCTGGCCGTATGGATACGACGGTAAAACCATTGGGCTCGAAGCGTTTCAGATATCCGATGGGCCAGTCCGGGAATGGCAGTTGATCCTGGCAATCACCCGATGTAATCTCCCTCACATCGTCAAGCCTGGACTGGACTGCCACAATCACCCGACCGCCATACGCGTCAGATCATGCCAGGCGGAGAAACCACTTCTCAGCTTCGCATAAAGCGATCTCCTCCCCCAAAAGCCCGTTCGTGCACCGCAACAATCACCACGGCGAAGAGACTCACGTTTCCGCCAAGCTTGCCAAACTTGCCCTTCTTGGGGTCGTCCTGGACAACGATCGTCGTGCCACCAGCCGACTGTTGCATGGGTGACATACCGGAGGCGCCGTACTGCTGCACCTGGCCCGGGGGCGGTGTGTAGTAGGAGGATGCAGCGCCGGGGGGCTGGTAGGGAACCATGCCGCCGGCGCCAGCCTTCTCATCCCGCGTACCGGGCCCACTGAGGTCAGCAATCTGCAATGGTAGTGGCAGGGAGGAAAGATCGATTATCAGCAGGTAGGGTTCGACACCCGGCGACTACTGCAGTACGTCCAGGCGCACGCGTCGGCAGGGGTGTAGCGACACAGCCAAGTGATGGTTGCAGACGGCTAGGTGATGGGCATGCGGACGCTCTACCTCTTCCGCCCGGACCGGTTGAGGCTCTGCGCGCGAAAGCGGCCACGGCAGCGACCGAGGGCCGTCACCCTCGCCTCCCTAGTCCAATCTCCGTCCAATCCCTTGCCTCCATTGCCGTACTCACAGCTTCTCTACGTAGCTGGCCGGGAACAGCCCGCCCTTCTCCATGCTCGAGCCGACAATGCGACCGCGGAACCACTCGGCATTGACCTCCTCGTCCACGATGACAATGTCGCCCTGCCGGAACCGCAGGTCCTCGGGGTCCGCGCCATTGTAGTCCCAGAGCGCGCGCGCCCGCTGTTCATTGTACGAGGGCGGCGTGATGCGGGGCGGGAGGGCGGGGGTGTGGGATTGGACGTGGTTCTGCACCGGCGATGTGTGCGTCTGGGGCGGCTGCGAGGCGTTGAGTCCCATCCCCGCCATGCCTGCCACAATGCCGGTGTGCTGCGTTGCGGCCGGTGCGACGGGCGGGTTCATCGCCAGCGCTGGGAACTGGGTGTACGGATTGGGGAGGCGTGAGCGGATCTCGTTCGCGTCGGCTGGGGAGATTAGCTGCAGGGTCTCGAGGAGGCCGACGCTCGCCAGCGTCTGCGAGACGAGATGAGAGGCGAGAGCCTGGGCGGGCTGTTGCGCTGCCATTGTGAATGAGGTGGTGTGAAGACAAGCGATGCAGTGCACGGGTGTCGTCACGCTGGGAATTCGTCGTCCTTGGGTGGCGACCTGATCCAAGGCGCATTCCCGGGCCCCGATCATCCACGTGGAAAGCTGCGAAATTGTAATAATAGAACCACACCTAACGACTAAGTAAATTCTGTATCGAGAGAGCATGCAACAAGCGGCTTTCACACACCAGCCGCCTCACACTGCGCATTGATGCATCTATTCCGGAACCAAGAATTAGAACACGGTGATGGTGCTCTCGCGAGCGGGACCAACACCAATGTACTGGATCTTGACGCCGAGGTACTCCTCAATGAACTTGACGTACTTCTGGGCGTTCTCCGGGAGGTCGTCCCACGTACGGCAGCCAGTGATGTCCGAGTCCCAGCCGGGGAGGGTCTCGTAGATGACCTCAACCTGGCCGAGGCGGTCAAGGTCGGCGGGGAAGCCCTCGATGAGCTTGCCGTCGAGCTTGTAGCCGGTGGCGATCTTGATCTCCTTGAAGCCGTCAAGGACATCGAGCTTGGTGAGGTTGAGCGAGGTGTAGCCGTTGATCCAAGTCGAGTAGCGGCAAACGACAAGGTCGAGCCAGCCGCAGCGGCGGCGACGGGCAGTGACGGTACCGTACTCGGCGCCCACCTCCTGGAGTGTCTCGCCGACAGAGTTGAGCTGCTCGGTCGGGAAGGGGCCACCACCGACACGGGTCGTGTACGCCTTGACGACACCAATGGCGCGCTTGATAGCGAATGGCGGAATGCCGAGACCAGTGCAGACACCACCAATGGTAGTCGCCGACGAGGTCACGAAGGGGTACGTGCCGTAGTCGATGTCGAGCATGAGGGCGTTGGCGCCCTCGACGAGGACACGCTTGCCGCTGGAGAGCTGCTGGTGCATCCAGGTCGGGCCGTCCACGACGTGGGGGCGGAGGCGCTCGGCCAGCGCGAGCATCTGCTCGATCTCACCCTCGGTGTCAAACTCGAAGTGGCCGTAACGCTTGAAGCGGCCCTCGACGAGCTTGCGGAATTTCTCCGGGAAGGTGGGGTCGTACAGGTGGTGCACGCGGAGACCCGAGCGCGACGCCTTGGACGAGTAGGCGGGTCCGATGCCCTTCTTGGTGGTGCCGATAGACGAGCCACCAAGCTCAATCTCTTTGAGGCCATCGACAATCTGGTGGAAGCCGAGGACAAGGTGGGCACGGTCGGAAACGAGAAGACGGTCCGCCACCTTGAGGCCTGGACGTCAGCACGGTGAAAGCCGCGTTGAAGGCAGTGAAGACCGTGCGGCCGCACTGAAACTCACCCTTACGCTCGAGCGTGTCGAGCTCGTTGAAGAGCGAAGGGACGTGAACGACAACACCCGAGCCGATGAAGGCGGTGACCTTGGGGTTGATCAGACCTAAACGTCAGCAAGCTGCCTTGGGGATGAGTTGTTGGGGCAAATGGAAGGTGGCGCCCCATAGGTCCATGTCTGTGCGGCAAAGCCACACATACGTCGGAGCAACGCTGAGCCCTAGACCTGTAGCTCGAGAGTGGAGGCCACAGAAGGAGGCGAAATGTAACTGTGCAGTGGGCATTGCCTCCCAGCTCGCACAGCGAGAGCTCGCGCCCAGCATACATAAAAGTGGGTTTGCCTGGGGCGAGCGCGCAAGGGATCGCAGAGACAGGTCTATCGCCGGAGGAACTCTCGGCGTCGAGATCGGCGAGACTTCCCCCGACTCCATAAGGTGTGTTTGGGCATCTTCCAATCTCGCCCCAGCGGTCACACAGCCTCACTCTAACACCAAAGGTGACGCCCTCATTCCTATACGCGATGCACTGGTACTCACCCGAAGGAAGGAGGTTGAAGGCATATTTGACCTTCTCGCCCTTGTCGTTGGTAACGACGATGGTGTGGCCGGCGTTGTTACCGCCGGCGCAGCGGGCGCAGACGTCTGCGTCCGCCGCGAGAATGTCGACGAGCTTGCCCTTGCCCTCGTCTCCCCACTGGGAGCCGAGGCTGGCTGTCAGCGGGGTTCACTGCCGAGGAAGGTGGGTGACGCCGTCGGCGGTGCCAGACTGGTAGTGACCAGCGGTAACTATGGCGTGGAGAAGAGACACGTACACAACGGAGACCCCTTGCGGAGCTGCTGGGGTCAGTTGATGGCGACGACGAAGGGCTTACCTTGAGTCATAATGTCCGTTGCTGGACGATAAGTCAAAGACCAAAAGGAAAAGGAGGTTGTGGAGGGCAGATAATCCTGTGGATGTCCCTTGGTGTATCCGCCACAGTCTTGGCCTCTCGAGTCACCGCCGTCCGATCAAGCCACCTTACAACCCTGCTCTACACTCCGGTAGTAATTTCCGACTCAATCCCACCCCAGATGCATGCATGACCTCCCATTCGAATGTACGCCTGCACGACCAACTCCCAACGAAGGCGATCGAGGAGAGCTGCCCAGAAGCCACGGAGCGGAGGCGGGGGACCCTCCGACATCCGAAGTCGTCCTCCATTCGACTCAACCCCCCAAGATTACGGGATTAATGAAACGTAAAAATGGGGTCCAAATATTCGTTATAGGCTGTCCCAGATCCCAGAACGGCGCGCCGAGCGGAGGCAGATGGCGTGCCCTGCACTTCTCCCGATAATCGCCATGCCTCGCGACATTAACCCGAGCCATATCCGAGCTTCCCATCATGTCCATCGTCATGCCACCATGGTCGCCATGATGCTTAAACCTATATCTGCCTCCTAACAGTGATAGCAGGATGCTCTCTACGCATGGTGCATTTTTCTACTCGCTACTGCTGCTAGTCCCGGCCAGGCATCGCGCGCTAGTGCACAACGTCCTGCCATGCAATGTGGGCTCGCACCCTTAGATGACACCAGCCTCCTTGAGCTTGGCGACAAGCTCCTGGACCGACTCGACCTTGCCACCGCCCTGGCGCTCGGGGGGGTTCTCGACCGAGATGGTCTCGAGGCGGGGGGTCTGGAGAGTGAGTTTATAACCTCAAGAAGAGTTTCGGCAGAGCCGATCTGTGGCTCGTAACGCCCGCCTTCAAGCACTGTCAAAACTCACAATGTCAACACCGAGGTCGGCGGGCTTGATGGCCTCCGACTTCTTCTTCTTCGCCTTCATAATGTTGGGCTGGGGTCAGATTCCACTTTGCCAGTATATCAACTGTTAGCTCACAAGAGAGGGGTAGCGGGGCTCTGTACTGTTAGCTCGGTTTATTATGCAACGTAATCCCGCGGATCTCGCCGGGTTCTCAAGACATACCGTTGAGACGCAGGTCAGTGGTGACAACGAGGGGGAGCTTGGTCTCGAGAGTCTCGAGGCCGCCGTCGATCTCACGGATAACCTTGACGGCACCGTCCTTCGAGACCTCGAGCTTGGAAGCGAACTGGGCCTGGGGCCAGTTCAGGAGACCGGCGAGCATACCGCCGGTGGCGCCAGTGTCGTCGTCAATAGCCTGCTTGCCGGCAATGATGAGGTCGTTGCCGTCACGCTCGGCGATCTTCTTGATGATCTGAGCAACGGCGAGGGGCTCGACAATGTCGTTGTCGCCGACCTGGACATGGATAGCATTGTCGGCACCCATGGCAAGCGCAGTGCGGAGGGTGTCAATGGCCTTGGCGGGGCCGACGGTGATCGCGGTGATCTTGTGGTCCTTGTCCTTCTCCTTCATGCGGACGGCCTCCTCCATGGCTGGCGTCAGCAGCTGCCCACGTCCAACATGCGGGACAATGCTCGGAGCGGCACAGAGGTCTTTATAAGTGCGCCGGAGACGCATGCTGACGCCTCCGGCTCCGTGCTCCCAGCGCTCTGCTCGATTGGCATACGCATTTTCGCCTCTTCGCCCTCGCTCGCCATCTCCGAGGCCGCGCGAGCCGTCTCGGCTCGGCACCATTCGGCTAAGCTCCAGCGGCGTGGCACTCACCAATCTCGTCGAAGGGGTTCTGGAGTCAGCGCAGCCTAGCATGTTGCTCACCATCGAGTACTTGACATTGGTGTCGACGCCCTTGCCGTCCTTGGCAATGCGGATCTTGCTGTGGGTTAGCGGGGTTCGGAGGCAAGCCCGGTGTTGGAGCCGGAGATGGTTCCGGGGGCTCAGCGAAAGACGCACACAGCGTAGTCAATGGCACGCTTGACGGGGACGAGGATGTTGGCGCGGGCGGGGCGAGTAGCGAACATGATGGGCAGGGGACGGAGACGAGGACGGGAACGATGGACAGAGAGATTGCAAGAGTCGGAGGGGAGCTTGTAAGGCGACAAGATCAAGAGATATAGGCGAAGGGGTGCATTCTCGTCAAGATCCGGGATGGGGACCTGCCATGCATGGCCGACGTGCGGTGGGGGGAGGGAAGGCGTGGCCTGGCAGAGGAAATCGCACCGGCCGACAAGACTCTGAACAGCCGAATCCCGTCCTTCTGCCCTCGGTTGGCCATATTTGCCGAGCATGCACAGAGACCTCATTGCACGCCTATCAGAGCACACGTGGAGCCACGCGAACTTTGCGTTATTGAGGACATCCAGAGGGTTTAGGCGCGCCTAACCTGAGAACAATGAGATTTGGTGGTGGGAGCGGGCGGAGGCAAAGGGGTCCTACCTGCTCCGGTGAACCATCGTCGGGGTCCAACCAGAAAGCACGTCTTCAACCACCTGCCACTCGTCTCTCGTCGACTCTTACCTCTTCCTCACCACCCAATCCCCACTCATCAACAATGGTCGCTCCCATCAAGGGCATGGTGAGCACACCCGCTGGTCTACTCGAGCACAAGCTGACAGCCCAGTTCGCGCGCCGCCTGTACAAGGACATCGCCATCTCGTGCGCATTTGTCCGGCTCTGCTGACCCCAGCCTTACCTCTGGCACCATCGGTGGCTACTGGTTCTGGTACCAGGTCCACATCCCTATGAGTGCGTACATCCAGCGCGAGAGTGAGAGCGAGGGAAGGAAGCAGAAGAGGGGAAGGGACGGTGCCCGTGGTGCAGACGACGATGTGCGAGAGGATGGAGGCACAGGTCCCCGAAGCTTCGCTGACAGACAGTGAAGAAGCGCGACAACTTCTACGCCAAGCTTGAGGCCGAGCGGGCGTAAAGCACGAAATCGACCCAATCGAATTAGCATGCACAATGTCGCAGGTGGATCGGATCGAGAGGCCAGGCGTGGTGGTGTGAGGGTGCCGAGTCGAGGCACGAAGATGGGAGGAGGGGGCACTGTGCCGCACTGCACAGCGGCACGAGAGCACACGGGTGCTGACTGGCTGCTGCTGCAGTCGTCGCGTCGCCGCCACCCACGGAGGTGCGGAGGAGAGGGGATCTGTGCGGAGCTGGGATCGAAGATGGTCCGGGTGTGATGCCCGGTGTCGGGCTTTCATCATTCCTCAGGCCTAACCATTCGCCAATATTATCGGGTGTGGAAGTCGGGAACCACACGCTTGCTCCATCAGAGGCAAGGCGCGGGTGGGGCGCGCGACGTGCTCGGGCCATGAGGGTTGCCGAGCGACATGGGGAGGCGCGGAGGACAGGACATTGCGGCAGGTGCCAGATGTCGTCAGCGAATGAGGGGAAGAGGAATGTCCATCTCCAGTCCCGAGTCCTCACTGTCCGTCATCAACCTCCTACACCTCTATCTCGCTCGTGTCACTGGTGTATAAACACCCTGTCCATGTGTGCTACAGATCGTGTGCTTTACAGTCTTCAGGTTGTGTATAGTCTCTTCTCATCGCGCCGTGGTGTGCCCCGTGGCCATGACAGAGAGGTACACTTCTCCGACACCCTGCGCGCGCATGATGAGGTCGCTATGATCTCCGTCCTCGACAAAGTGAGACACGAATGCGATCTCACGCGGGTGGGCTGCGAACGTCTTGTTGAGCCATTCTGATGTCAGTTATGCGCATATACACTTCCTTCGCTGCATAGCTCACCCTGGCCGTTGCGCGGGACCATACCATCCAACCCGCCCCACCACACGTCGATTGGGAGGCGGTCGAGCTTGGGGGCGGGCTTGTCATCGTATTCCACCTTCTCGCGCTCCTCCTGCTCATCATCCTCCACATGCTGATCTGTCTGGTTGAGAGAATCCACGCCGGGCTCGGACTGCTCGACGCTCTCTCCGCTCGCCTCCTTCGCGCAGCTATCCTCCCCGCCCTGCTGTTCACGCCGCACGGCCGCGGCAACAGCGTCAATCTCAGCTTTGAACCACGCCGGCCCGGTGTCAATTTCCCCGCGGTTCAAGCAGAGCATGTGCTCCTGCCCTATTCCCCGGAAGTCTTCTGCGTACAGGTATTCGGTCGTGAGCTGGGTCAGCGGCGCCGAACGGAGACTCACGTATTTGGCGCTGGGCGCCCAAAGGCGTCGGCGGGGCGCCTCGTCCCCCTCCTGCTCGTCCAACTCGTTGGCAGCCTCTGCGCCGTCCTCGCGCGCCTCCTCCAGACTGTGCCGCTCACTCTCCTTCAGACTGTGGCGCTCACTCCCCTCCAGACTCCGGGTGGAGGGGGCGGGGCTTACGGGCTGGCTCCACGCTCCCAACCAGCTCTTCACGGCCGTGACTGCCCCGCCGACAGCCTTGGATGTCGCATCGTACGCCTCTTCCGCCCCGCGGATCGTGTTGAACACGAAAGGGAGGGTGGTGTCCTGCGTCGTGAGGACGCCACTGGGGATCCAGTCGAGAAGTTGGCGGTATGCGAGCGGATCTGTGGCAGGCAAGGGCGGTGACCATGGCGATACCAGATACACAGAGGGCGGCGGCGTGAGACCCGTAAGAAAGATGCCTGAATATGCGGAGAGAAGGCGGAGGGCGATGCTGCATGAGCGGTATCAGAGAGGAACGCACTAGATGCCTGCGCTCGTTGCGAGCATATGGGCAGGCTTCACGTCGAGATGTTCGAGAACCGACGCAATATGTTCTACCGTCAGTTCTGCCTATCAACCTGGGAGGTAATCACGACAGCTGGTGTTCATGCGCTCGGGAAGCGGCACCATCGGCGTCGCGCCTGTCCCCGGTCTATCCACTACGATGAGGCGGATGCCGTGTCCTGCCGCCAGCGGATCTGGAGTCAGCCTTCTTCTCGTGTTCGCACTGCTCCGCTAGTGCCTTGCGGAACCCACCTTGCGGCGCGGCGAACCAGCGCGAGCAGCCCGATGGCGGCACGAAAAGCACTGGCACACCCTCCGGGTCGCCGATGTCCGCGAACGACACAGCCATCCCCGTGCGCGGACATTCGGCGAGGCGGCGGTTGAACTTGAACAGCGCGAGGTAGGCGTGTGGGTCCGTGAGAGGCGTGGGCTCCATGATGTCGGCTGTCGAACTGGCGGAATGGGCAATAACAATGGACGACCTCCACTTCCATTCGCCTCTCAACTCAACTTTGTCACTCTTGACACATTCGAATCATTCACTCCATTCAAACGACTAGCCACGACTAGCGCGCTATGGCTTCACCCGCGGCTCCGCAAACATGGGGTCATGACTTCGAGGAAGGTCGCGAGACGAAGCGCGTTCGTCTTTCTGAACCACCACATCACACTCCCACACCGGCACCGGAAGGCGAGCCTGAGGTCGACAGTGACTTGGAACCGGAACAAGACGTGGCACACGAGCTCGAGCACGAGAACGGGCACGAAGAGCCAGACGGCGCGCAGAAGAAGAAGGAGAAGAAGAAGCGCGTACGAACCGACCGTGATCGTGAACGGGACCGCGAACGGCGCCGCGAACGAGATCGTGCAAGGCGCGCGAGGGTGAGTCCTCATCAAGCAGACCGGGATGAGGGAAGGCGGAATACTGCTGACAGTAGCAAGCCGCTCAGCGGGAAGAAGCGAAGGCCGCCGCAGCAGCTGGAGCTGAGGCTTCTGCTGGGCCCGAAGAAGTACAGTCCGAGGACGGGGAGTACTGCATCTGCCGTGGTGCGGCTGAGGGCGGCACAATGGTCGGCTGCGAGACGTGCGTCCGTCAACTCTACTTTCTCCTAATGACAGATGCGATAACTGGTTCCACCCCGCTTGCGTGGGGCTCGACGAGGCGCAGGTAGACATGCTCGACGTGTATATCTGCGCAGCATGCGAGGCGAACACAACGCGGCGCACCTCGTACCGCAAGATGTGTAAGGCAGGGTGCGGCAAGGGGGCAAGAAGTACATCAAAGTGAGCCCAGCCTTGACATCGCTGACGCAGATTCTGCTCCAGTCGCTGCGCGTTTGCGCACGCCCGTACCATCCTGTCCAATGTGGATAAGAAGGACGCGAAAGCCCTTGGAGTCGCCCTCACTGCCTATCCCACCCCGGCCCCCAGTATCACGCAAGGTGACCACGACCGCGCTGTTCTCGAGGCGTCCCAGGATGCAGCGACGCTCGCACTCCTCTCCTCTCTGCGAAAGCAGAGTGCTGACGCCGAGCGGGCCCTCGCCATCATCGCGCGGCGGCAAGCGATACTCGCAGCTGCGGTGGGCGTGTGGGAGAGCTTTGCGCCGGGCCTCGTTGAGGAACCCAAAAAGCGCAGCAAAAACAAGAAGCGGGACGGGGAGAAGGATCCACGGCCGTGTGGTTACGACCCGAGACTGATATGGAGCGACGCGGAGGTTGCCGCCTGGGACGGGAGTGAGAGAGAGGCGACTCCGCCCCGCAAGGACGAGGAAGGGCTTGAGGGGGAGGATAGAGTCAAGGAGACAGCCCTCGAGCGTGCGGCTAGGCTTGGCCTCTGTGCCGTCGGACGCCGATGCGAACGGCACGCCGGGTGGCAGAAGACACTCGCTGTGGCTCTTGAGGTGGAGGCTACACAGCTCAGTCGACGGCGGGACGACCTCGCCACGTTGGGCGAGCGGGTCGAGCGCGCAGGTACGACGACTGTCGCAGCGCGCCGAGCACGGGATGGGGTGCGCGCTGCGCTCGCGGCGAAGAAGTAGGGTTATTATTGTATCCATGTGTAACTAGGCCACTTCCGACAAAGTTGACAGCGCCTCACTGCCCTCGCAGTCACCGCGCAACAATCTTTGACACGCCGCCGCGGAATGGAGAGGGTTCTCCAGTCGCTTGAGAGCACCACCTATTGCTCACTTACTGACTCGGCCCCGCTGAACCCATGAGGTAATCCCGCACGTCGAATGGCAGGTTCCATACTGCGTCGATAGCCTTGAGCCCTAGCTCTTCGCGGGCGGGAGTTAGTGCGAGCGCAGCGAGCGCGAGGTAGCTGTGGAAAGGATCGGGGAAGTCAGAGGGCGCCTTGCCGAAGCCGCCTATCGGCGACTGGGCGTCGAGAATGAAGGACGTGTTGGCGGGAGAGTTCACGAGCTCGGCTTGGTTGAGAGTCTGTATAGTGTTCAGTGGGAAGCGTCAGAGAAGGGAAGCCAGCGCTGCGTCTTGGCGTTGCCAGGAGACTCACTGCCAGAGCGCCCCCACACCAAAAGGAGTAGCACACGTCCTCGAGCTTGCCTGGGCGTCCTTGGAACCCGCCAAGCTGGCGCTGCACCAGCCAGCGCGTCGTCTCGCCTACATCCGCCACCCCGCCGAGCAGGTTGAGCGCGGCGACGGCGCAGTAGGTTGTTCCACCCTGCGCTTCAACCACGCCAGGACGCGCAGCGTATGCGCCTTCCCATGTCTGAGGTCAGCTCGGTCCGTCCTCCGCGCCGCTTGCTCGCGCGCACTCACTCTACACCGCGTCAAGAATGCGCGTGCCTTTTCCACATCTATGTCCTCTGTTTCTCCCCCAAGCGCAACAGCTCGTGCCACCGCCGCGCAGTAGCTCATGCGTGTGTCGTTCTGGAACGCCCCGGGCATGCGAGGGGAAGGTGAGAAACTCCCGTCTTCCGCCTGGCATGCGCGCAGGAATCGCATCAACCCTCGGCGGTCAAGTCGATCCAATGGCGCGCGGAGGAGGGCGAGTGCGCACAGCGCGGTGTACGTTGAAGGGAGGTGAGCCGGGCCTGGGATGGGCGAGCCGCGGAAGCCGCCATCAGCTATGGGTTAGGAAACGAAGGAGAGAGAGGAAAGACCAGACGCACCCTCTTGAAGATTCCAGAGCCATTCTATCCACCCGTCGCGGCCCGTGCGGTCGAGTGCACCGAGAAGTTCGAGGCCTGCGAGGCTGAAGAACGCGATTGTCACACTGTTGTCAGCGTTCTGACCAAGTGGAGGAGCATACCGGTTCACATCATGCTCCTCAGCTGCCTGAGGGAGAACGCTGAGGCAGCGCTTAAAGTACCCGATATGCGCGTTGCGTTTGAACGTCCTCTGCGACATGAGGTGGTAAGTTGGTTGTGGATTAAGGAACGGGCGGAAGGTTGGAGGATGAATGGCATGAAGGGATGGTGAAACTGGGATAGAGGACGCGTTGAATTCCACGAGGTTATCTCGCGTCTCCTTCACTCCATCCTCCTTACTCCTTGGCCTCCGCCATGCCATCACCATCACCACCCCCAACACCCCGCACCGCCACCTTTTTGGGCATCGGCCGCCCGCGCGCCCCCACTGTCACCCCGGAGACTGAGCCTCTGCTGGATGAGCCGGGCCCCAGTCGCGCAAGATCCGTCAGTCTCGCGCAGAGCATCGCCTCCGTTGCGTCTTTCGTCTCTGCAGCCTCAAGTACGGGCCTGAGCGTATCGAGAGGACACTCGCGGAGCGCCAGCGTGTCCAGGCCGAAGTCACCCCGGAGCGAGCTCGACCCACAAGAAGAAGACGAGTTGTTGGATTCGGATTCCGCTCGCGCATCAGTTGCCTTCTCCGATCTCGAGGAAGACCTCGATTGGGATATCGAGGACGACGCAGGCTCCGACGAGCCTCTCGTGCGCCGACGCCGGAGGGATGACACACCAGGCGACCGCAGCTTATGGGAAGTACGTCGCCGCTCGCACAGACTCTGATACAGCTCATCCCGCCGCTCGTCCTCGCACATCCTCTCGCGCTCTTCCCAGCGCTCGCGGCCATCCCACACGACTTCTTGCCGGCGGGCGTCGCCCTTTTTGTGCCCCTTCTCTGCGTCCTCGCTCTCCTCAGTGCATGCGCGCACATCGTCATCGTATATCTCGGCTGGTACCTCAAAGTTCGCACATTCGAGGATGTGTTCGCTGCGTGTGCAGGCGAACGACTGGGTCCATACGGCCTGCAGGTCGGGCGCGCTTTCGTCATGGTCGCGACCATGGGTGCAAGCGTAGGCTGGCTAGGAAGTGAGTGCAAAGTCCGACGGAACGCGAGAAACGCCACCAATACATCTGAGACTGCACTAACTCTAGCCCTCTTCGGACTCCTCGAGCCCCTCGCGCGCACATACCTTCCCGCTGGCGTGCTGCAGGCGCGCGTGTTTTGGGTGCTCGCTGCCAGCGTAACCATGATCCCTGCACTCGTCCCCTCAAGAACCTTCCGCAGCTTGAGGCGAGCGCCGTATGTCCTGGCCACATTGCTTCCGATCGTCGCGTTTATCGCCATTGGGCGCACCGTTGAGATTCGCAAGCTTATGGACGAGGCAGCCCACAAGCCTGAACTCAGCGCGCGCGGTCTCAACGCCGGCTCTGCAGGCTCTGGTCTCAGTGAGCATTCTCCATTCCGCGCTGATACCAGCCTCCCTCGCTATGTTCTTTACACCCCACCTCCAAAGCCTTTCGGTGCACACGACACTTCAAAGGAACAGCCGACAGCAGTTTTTTATTCCTTGCTTCGCCACCACGCTCGCGCTTGTTCTTATCTCTCTCCCCTTCGCCCTGGTGCCATACTACCTCCTACCACCGGCCTCGACCGGTCTCGCCCAGCTCCCCCCCGACGATGGTTGGACAAACGCCGCCCGCGTCCTCATGGCCGCTCTCGTCCTCGGCAGCACAACCAGCTGGCTTCTTCGAGGCCGGGACTGTATTCTTACGGCCCTGGACGTGGACAGAGGCGAAAGCATCAAGGCCGGCCGCTGGGTCGGGCTGGGCATGTGGGTCGCGGTCGTGGCCATCGCAGCTCTGGGCGGGATCGTGGCAGACAAGGTTGAGTTGCTGGGAGTGATTGCAACGCTTGCTGTCGGTTGGCTCCTTCCTTCTCTCTTCTTCATCATCACGTTCCATGTCCGCTCTCCACTTTCCATCATCTTCCCGCGTGACGTGCCACCTCCATCTCTCGAAGAACCCCGCGCCAGTCCCAGCAATGGGCACATCCGCACAGTATCTCTGGACAACCCCGCTACGGACGTACTTCTTGCTCGCAAGGAGCGCCAACTGCAGAAGCGCCGTCTGGGCCGTCGGCTGTGGCAGGACATGGTCGTATACGTGGGCATCTTGCCTGTGGGATGCGTCACACTGGTGTGGAGCGTAGGGTCCTTCCTCAGCTTGTGGTAGGCGCGTACAGCGACTCAAAGAGGACGATGGAAGTGAGCAGAGCGTACTTCCGGGTCGCTGGTAAAACAAGACGATAACTCTGGGCAAGGGCGATATGTTGCGGGACAATGCATGCTCTGTATATATGCGTTGTCGCCAATTCGAGGCGCCTCGCCGACATGGCGTCGCCAACATCGCTGCCCTCCGGCAGTGGCCTCGGCGATAGCCGGTTCCGGTGCCTGTATTGAAGATAGCGACACCTGCTCGTTCGCCAACAACTTCTGTCTTCGCCAACTGCTCGACTCGATCGCCAACTTTGCCCAAGTCTCGCAGGCAATATAAGGGAGTAACCAAAAGCTCGTTTGATCCTTGCCTCATTCACGCTCGACCGCTCTGAGCCGTCGCCACCTTGCCCTCCATGCCCACCACTCCCTCCCCACCTCCTGAACCGGCGCAGCGCCCCCTCCTTATTCTCGGCGCCGGCGTCATTGGACTCACCACCGCGGTGCGCCTTCTCGAATCTCCTTCCTCTCAGGGGCGCAAAGTGCACATCATAGCCGACCACCACCCCTCTGACGCGCTCGATGCGCGGTACGCCTCAAGCATTGCCGGCGCACATCATTTGAGCTTCGCGGACGATGCCGACAAAAGGCAGCGACGGTGGGATCTACGCAGTGAGTGCCGAGTGCCGACGCACCCATGAATGAGCCCTTTGGAGTGGAGCTGACATCAGCCTTCCGCGTCATGTACGAGGAGTGGCGGAAAGACGGCGAGGCGAGCGGCCTCATGGGTCTCAAGCAGACGGAGATGTGGGTCGGAAGCAGCAAGCACTTGCAGATCTACGAGGAGCATCCGGACGTGCGTACAAAGTAGTCCACCCTTGATGTGTCGGCTGACAGCTCAGTTCAAAGTCTTGGAAGCGCGGGACGCACCGTGCAAAGCTGACCACATGGTGTCGTTCACCTCTTTGACCATCACTCCGGCGCTTTACCTTGCGCGGCTGGAAGCACGAGTCCGCGCTCTCGGTGGGATCATCCACCGCGCTCACGTTGGCAGCCTGCACGACCTCGCGACACTCCCCTTCCTCTCGCTGTACGCGGTGCTCCCCGCGGCCGTGTTTGTTTGTGTTGGTCTTGGTGCGCGCTCCTTGCTCGGTATTGCGGACCAGTCTGTCTACCCAACGCGAGGGCAGGTTGTACGCGTCCGCGCGCCTTGGGTCCGCTCAGGATATACGCGACAGGTGGGCTCGTTGGCGGGCGGCGAAGGCGGAGCGAGGACGTACGTAATCCCACGCTGCACGGGTGACGTGATCCTCGGTGGGACGCGTGAGGAGCGCGACTGGGACCCGTATCCTCGCCCCGAGACGGCCAAGGACATCCTGTGTCGCGCTCTCGATATCTGCCCCGTACTGGAACCGCCACACTCCCGCGCGCCCGCGCTGGAGCAGGGCGAGCAGACGCTGGAGGCGGCGTGGGCGGCCGAACTGGGGCGGAAGGACCAGAAGGTGAAGGCTCTTGAGGAGACTGTGGTGGAGCACCTGGTCGGTTTCCGTCCCAGTAGGGTGGGAGGGACGCGGCTGGAGCGCGCGGAGGTGAGGTTGGCGGGCGAGATCGTGGCCCTCATCCACAACTACGGGCATGGGGGCGCGGGGTGGCAGAGCTCGTGGGGGTGCGCGGAGGATGCTGTGGCTATCTGGGAGGGGAAGAATCTACCCAAATTATAGGGGATGCGAGGGAGATGGCTGTTGTCGAGTCGGACTGACTGGCTGGCGAGGCGAGGAAGGTGTGGCACGCCCATGCACGTTCACTTGATCCGCAACAGACTGATCAATATATACTTATCGCTCTCCTCACTGTCCTTTTCTGACCCTTTTCTACACTCTCTCACTCTCTCGTCCCTACCTCCGTGACCTGCCCCTCGTCCCTCTCACACGTACTCTTTGACGTTGTTGCGCACCCACCCCCTCTTCCAACGCCCTCTCGCCATCTCCACCTCCCATTTGCGCACACCTTCTTCATTTATAAACCTCGAGCCGCAAGATGCGAGCTCCAGAGGGTGAAGCGGGCTCTACCAGCCCGGGCGCGCGTCTTCGCGCCGCAGCCAACCGAGTTGTCACGGCGATCCGACGCAAAGGCGAGTCCCCTGCCGAACGTGGCGCCCACATAGGTGACCCCGGTGATCCGTCCCAGGATCTTGATTTCCGTGTGGTGAGACTGCCAGGAGACCGCGCTAATGTTGCCATCGGTGCGTCTTGCCAACCTCGCCCTGGCCGCGCTCGCGCGTGAATGGGAGCAGCACGAGACGTCGAATCCCGACAGTGATGTCAGCGGCAGCGGCAGCTGTGAGACCAATAGACGAGAGCAGCTGACACAGATGCAGGCAGCTCTCACAGCACCTGCGACCTTCCCGCGAATACGGAGGAGTCGATGGCACTCGCGAACGCCACACTCGCGATGCACGCGGTTTCCGCTTTGGCGGCGAGTGTGAACGCGCACGCGAACGCCGTCGTCGTCGCCAAGACGCTCGATCGCAAGGACGACGCCGCGCACCTCCACGAGCTGAATAACAACATGAAGCTCATGCGGCAGGCGCGCGTGCTCGCGGGAGCTACTGCGACGGCGGCGGAGAACAAGGCCCGCCACTGGTACGGAAAGCAGAACGAGGTCGCGCGCGGCGAGAACGGCAAGGCCCACCCGGTGTAGGATGAGTACTTGTGTAGTGACTGGGACGGACAGTGGATGTTATACTCCTGCATCGGTCACTGAAGGGCGCTGGCAGCAGGCTCGGGGCTGGGGCGCGTGGGTGCTACAGTTCAACACCCCTCATCAGCCCTCGTCGAATGTCGAGAGGCAAGGGTAGCCTGAGCTCGCTTGTCTGTACAAGGAAGGGAGTACTGGTCCAGTCACTTGGCACGAGGCGACAGGACTAAGTGGACTTCTTCATTTCCCTTTGACCGTGCTCCCCTTCCGCAAAAAGCCCAATCCACCCTAGGCAAGTCTCCTCATCCCCTCCGTCTTCACGCTTTACCTCTAGCTCAGTCCGCTGTCCCCCATGGAGGACATCACATCGCACAGCATACTCTATGTAGTCTAATCATATATGATACAGTGTTCGTCAGTTGATACTCTAATCTATCGCCTACAAGAGAACCGCAACGGCCAGCGCCGCGGCAGCGAGTGCAGCACTCGCGACAGTGCGCTGCGCGGCGCTCATCGTGCCCTCAGGTCGGTCGGTGATGGTGACAGTGAGGACGGCGACCAGCCCGTCGATGGCGGGCAGCCCATCGTCCTCGACGGTGATGTAGTGGTTGATGTCCTCGCTCGAGTTCTGCAACAGGCCGCTGACGTACCGCACGTCGGTGTGGTACGTGTAGTTGCGGTATCTGGTGCTGCCGGCGAAGGTGCTCGTGTTGGTGAGATTGCGCCCGTTGAGCGGCTCGGTGAGGTTGGTGAGGTTGCCGACGAGGAAGTCACGGCCGGCGTTGTAGCCGTTGCGGATGATGTCGTGGCCCTTCGCCAGCTCCATCTCCACCGACACAGCCATGAAGATGGCACCCGTGCTGTTTTGGGTCCAGTAGCGCAGGTGCTGCCCGCCTTCGAACGTTTCGCGACATGAGCCGATGTATGGGTCGCCGTAGTTGTACCGCAGCGTCTGGATCTCGGAGACGTTGGTGCGGCCGTCCAAGTTGGCCTCTTGGACCGCGCTGAATTGAGCGCCGAGACATTGCGTCGAGAGATACACTGAGCTGTTGTTAGTCTTGGAAGGCCGATGAGGCAAGCCGCAGGCGCAGGATAAGGCAGCGACTCACAGCATGTAGTTCTGGAAGCCACCGTCGTACAAGCTGTCCTTGAGGACGGCTGGATCACTCTCGGTCGAGATGATGACATTGAGGGGCTCGCCCAACCCTGGTGGGTAGGTGTTGTTGACGACCTGGTGTCAGCGCGTTGAGGATGCAAAAAGGCTGCATGCATGCGCGCATGCACTGCGACATACAACCGCACGTCTGCCAAGTGTGCGGTGCCGACAACTCCGTCGCACTGCGCCAAAGAGACCGAGAGCAGGCTCACTCACCGTCAGCATCGAACCACCGAGAGCATTTGGGTCCTTGAACCCGGAGTAGTCTCGTGGGAAGAGCGCTGATGCATGCGCAGCGGCCGCGAGGAGAGGTAGGGAGAGGAGAGAGAGCATGGCGAGGGGAGGGGCGTGGTGATGAGTGACGCTTGTATTGTCGCGTGCGGCGGAGGGTTTGGTGATGTGACAAGCGTGTGCTTATCTTGCGCCGTGGAGGCGGTGATGGCGCGAGATGGGCTTGGCTGATGGCCCGTGGGCAAGACAACAATGGTGGACAATGGAAGCGGCGATGCGCTGATGCGAAACGAGTGTCGATGTGATGCGCAGAGGTGAAACTGAGAGAGAGAGAGAGAGTGATGGAGAGAGCGTGAGGTGATGTCGTGACGATAACCAAAATTGGGGCCACGCTAGGATGCTAGTGTGGCATGAATGACATCTCCGCGATGCGATCGGCATCCGTCTTGGCTCTCGTCCCCCTGCTGACCAGAGAACAGGTACACTCCCGTCGGCCTCGTCGGACTTGGGACTTCTCTCTTCCCCCCTCCTCTCCCCGCCGCCCACGCCCGAACGCCACGCGGCACATGTCGCCGTTGCCGCCGGCAGTGGCCGTGCAATTCCCGTCGGCTCCGCCCATCCTCCATGCCTTGGCCTCACGGCCCCATGACGGCCGAGACACCGTAATACGCGTCTATTAGACGCAGGTTCGTGCGACGCGCCGGCCCTTCCGTTGATACATGACTGGAGCACGGAAGCCGTCGCTTCAAACACTCGCGAGATCAAAATCAAGATCGAGTCGATTTATCCCGTCAACTCCTGACTTCGCACATCGTCGTCACAGGCTTGGTCATCATTCCACTGGCCCGGTATACCCTCCTACCAGCGTATCGACTCAGCAGTGGAGGGGATCCAACATCGAGAGCATGGCGTGACAGCGCTCAAGTGTGCGGGGCTGATACAACCACTGACGGCTGACTTGCTGCACTCCCAGCTACAACGCCTTACTTCTGATTCCCCCTCCTAGAGCCTCTACGCAACGCTCGGCCCACCCACCATGACCGCTACAGAGTATGACATCGCGATCATCGGCGCCGGCATCGTCGGCTCGTCCCTCGCGTCCCACCTCGCGCCTCACGCGCGCGTCCTGCTTCTCGACCGCGACCTCGCCGTCCGCGGCTCGTCAGGTCATAACCCCGGCTTCGTGGGTCAGCTGAACCGCCTCCCGCCTCTGACCGAGCTCGCGCGTCGCTCCGTGCGCGCGTACAGCACCGTGCCCGGCGGCTTCGAGAACTCGGGCTGTCTCGAAGTAGCCCTCACCAAGCCCGAGCTGGAGATGCTGCGCGCGCGCGGCGCCCTCGCCCGCGCCTCGGGCATGAAGGCGACTCTCGTGAGCCAGGCCGAAGCGCGCCGCCTCGCGCCGGCGTTCGTAGAGGACTGCGTGGGCGGACTGCACTTCCCAGACGACGGGTCTGCCGACCCAAAGGTCCTCGCCAAACACTACCAGGCTCAAGCCGCGTCTGCTGGTGCGACTTTGCTCGCGGCCGACGTTCTCGCGTTCAAGGAGGGGGCAGTAGAGACCTCCGAAGGCGTGATCAAGGCCAAACGCGTGGCCGTGTGCACCGGTATTTGGGGCACGCAGCTCCTCCCCCTTCCCATGGCTGGCGCGGTGGTCGTCGGCCAAGGGTACGCGTACTCGTCGACACGGAGGCCGCGCACCGCGAGCCCGATCATCCGCTGGCCCGGCGTCCAAGTCTACGGGCGCGACCACGGCGACCGCGACGGTATCGGCAGCTACGACCATGCGCCGGTCCACGTGCCCACGTCAGACATCGGAGGCCACAGCACGGCCGCAAGTGCATGGAACAAGGCGTTCACCGGCGCACTCGCGCGCGCCTTGGCCCTGCTGCCGGAGCAGACGGCTGCCCGGTTCTATGGCCGCACCCTCGCTGGGACCGGGACGGAGGATGCCGCCGCCGCCATCATCCAAGCCCGTGAGGCGGGGAGGGCGCATGCGTTCAACAGCCTCTTCCAGGTTACGTCGGACGGATACCCGCTCGTCGGCCGTGTTCAGGACGGCGTGTACGCTGCCGTGGGCGTGTGGGTCACGCATGCCTATGGCGCGGCGGGGGTGCTCACCGATATGATACTGCAGGACATGGGCAAGGGCGAGGAGAAGGATGAGGACGCCGAGATACGAAGAGTGCTCGATCCCCTCCGCTTTGCCGGGAAGGATGTGGTTGACGACGCGTTGAGGACGTACAACGACATCTATAACCGTAAAAAGTAGCTGTGATTTAGGAGCCTGGCTTCTCAATGATAGGATGGAAAGAATGCCATGTGGTGTGCTGGAGATCGCCTACTCCAGATGGAAGGCGATGGGAGCTGGTTTCGTATACCTGCCATGGTCAGTCGCGCCGCAGTGTCCCCGCTCTACCCTCACACCTTTCATAAACCTTCTAAACCCTCTCAGCTCAACTTGCACTGCGTAGAATGAAGCCACACACAGGCCCCAATTTGACGGGCAGAACGGTTAGTTTTGCAGGGCTAAGTTAGCTCAGCGGTGCGAGCATCCCTACAGACGTCAGTGGCTCGAGTCTGTGTCTGTGGTGTGGTGTGGTGTCCAAGTATGTCCATCGATGCTACTGCTGCCCATGTATCCTTCCGAGCATTAACCACCCACTGGCCAACGATGCGAGACTCCAAGAAGCCGAGCCCGAGTTTTCTGGCGTCAGCTGCGCCCCGCCGCATGCTCCACACTCACACTTCTTCTCAATGAGATCCCCCCACTGCCGGCGCATTTCGTTGACGCCGCGCGCCGCGGGGTCGACCGTAGGCTCGATGTCGGCCTCGAGCCCCTCGTGTTGCGTCAGGTCGACGTCAATCTTGCTCTTCTTCTCCTTCTCCCCCTTCTCCTTCGTGCGGCCGCGGCTGGCCGCCGCCTCGTCGGCGAGGTCCGCCTCCGCGCCGTCGATCAGCCCGCCCCACTGCCGCCGCATTTCGTTCACGCCGCGCGCGGCCGGGTCTACCGGCCCCTCGTCTTTCACCGGCGCATCGGGGTTAGGCTTGTCTTTCGAGAGGAGCGGGGCGGAGTTGGCCACGCCGCGCGGCGCCGTCGGCGCGAGTGGGCGGGAGAGGGGGCGCGTGGGGCGGGGGTGGAGCGGGAGCGAGAGGGAGCGGAGGACAGGCGGGCGCATCGTGAGAGACGGATGAGGTGCAAGTTGCAAGTTGCAAGTTGTTGGCCTCGGTGGATGGCGGCGGCTGCCACCCACCGGTCAGGAAGAGGCCGACTCCAAGATCCGGTGACGTCGGGCACTGTCACCGGATCACGCGCGCTTTTGCTTCCGCCGCCATTGGAATCGTAACGAGGCTTGTTGAATGCTTAAATGGGTCAAGAGGAGAGTGAAGCATCTGCAGACCGCCAAGAGCAGGCTATTCTTACCGTACGCAAGGCGACAGGTGAGACAGTGGGCGCAGGGAGATCGCGACGGTCAGCGTAGATAAGATATCAGCGCTGGGCGGGTGGAGGTGTTCCTCCTCATGCGGTGCCTTTCCCGGCCATTCTTGTCACATGCTGATCTAGTCTCCAACTATAGTACAATGGACTTGAGTGATTGCCAAGGTGCGCTTAAACATAGCGCTGGACAACTACAGCATTTTTGAGGCCAGCCTGCTCGATTGTCTCATTGTCGGACAGCTCGCGATTGGGGAAGGTAGTCTGAAGAACGAAGGCGCGGCTGTCGGAACGCGCAGACGAAGCCAGCCCGCGCAGATCAGCCACAGTGTGGTCGAGGTTGACCTTGACGACAAGGCGGGTACCGTCCCCGAGGCGCAGTTGGATCGTGGTAGACGGCTTGCTCTCATCAACCTTGATCTCAGCCTTGGCCGCAGGAGGCGCAGCGGGGGCCACCGCCGCAGCTGGGGCCGAGCCAGCACCTGCCACCTCGGGGGTCGCGGAGCCGAGGCGATTGCCGCCGCCAGAGAAGGGCTTGGCGGGCTTCCTGGCTGGCTCCTGGTAGTCTTCATCTACACGTTGGTCGACCTCGATCTTGAGCGCCTGGTTGAAACGCAAGTCGAAGAGCTCGAGCGGCGCGCGACCTGCGCGGATCATGTTCAGGATTTCCTGGCTGCGAGGGTCGTCGTAGCGGTGCAAAGGGCCATCCTCGATGCTGAAGCCGTCACGCCAGAAAGTGAGACGGCGCTCGACTTGCTCATCCCCCTCATCGTCCTCGTCCTCGTCCTCGTCGTCGCCGAACGCGCCGGGCATTCTCGCGCCTCCGGCTGAGCCGCCGACCGGTGCAGACGGCGTGTCCTCCGACCCGAGAGTGTGCCCAGCACCAACGCGTGCCCATGGATTCTGTGCCCGTGGAGCGGGATCCTCTTCACGCCCACCCCTGCTGTGAGCGCCGACCTTCTTCTTCATAGATGCGGAGATCTTAACTCACTCGCGTGCCTGCTGCAGAATGTCGTTCACGATGCCGACGTCGCGGTTCCCGCTGTTAGGGTTTTGCACGGCCAGGCCACTGCGCTCGCCTCCTGTGTACAGTTCGTTGCCCTCCCGTCTGTTCTCGTCGTCGAGCACGCCGGCAATATTCGCCTCGCGGCGGCGCCAAGACTCTGGCAACTCCTCGGCAGGCGCTCCGGAGAGGGTGCGCGCCCCACCAGCGGGCTCAGTTGACGCGGCCAGTGCGGCGTCGAGCATATCTTCGTCCGCGTCCTCAGTTGGCGCGTCTCCAGCGGCCTGCGCGGCAAAGTAGTCTTCAATGGCGCCCTGTTATCAGCCCAGGCGAAAGGGGACGGTAGAACGGAGGTGATTCCGCTCGCAAGAGTACTGGCAGGTAGGGTTACAGATACGGAGGCCACACAGTGGCCAAGTGATGCTGAGCAATTCTCCAATGTCAAGCAAGTATCCGACACCCACCTCAAGCGTAACACCTTCTCCGAGGAAGCGCGCAGCGTCGGCCGGCGACGCCTGGGTGATGGCCACGAACTGGTCAATGTCTGGTGTCAATTGTCAACAGAGGATGGCTGGGATGGCAGATGGAGCGGGCAGAGGGCCGCTCTCCAAACCCGCTACAAGCAGCGGACATGCAAAGCCTCTCGGAGCGCGTCGGAGCTCACCTTCCTGCTTTGGGTTGAGTCCTGGCATGGTTGATGAGGAGAAATCAACACCACAGTTGGTGACATCGATGACGAAACGCGCGTCGCCATGGAGATCCAACTCCGCTGAAGTCACCCTCCACCTCGACCAACCTCCACCGACCAACTTCCAACCATTCCATCCCCCATGCCATCCTACACCCTCACGCCCGAGGCATACGCCCTCCCCCTCCTCCATGCGGCAGCACATCCCGAGGCGGACGTCGCGGGTCTCCTCCTCGGCCGCGGCGGCGAGGTCGTGACTGCGCTCCCTGTGCTGCATCGCTACGCGTCGCTCAGCCCGACGCTCGAGCTCGGGATCGACATGGCGCGCGTGTGGGGCAAGCAGAAGGGGCTCGAGATTATGGGATACTACGAGGCGCGGGGGAATGGGAGCGCTCGTATTGGCGAGGCGGTGAGTCGCGACGAGGTCGTGCTTATCCCAGGTGTTGGCGGCACTGCGGGCGGAAGGGCCCGCGCTGGGCCTCGTGTTGCATAACGGGAAGCTGCGGACGACAGACGCTGTCTACACGGTGAGTAAGGTGCAGATTAATTTGCTAGAGCGAGAAAGGGGAGGAGGGGGAGTATGGGCAGTCTGGGAGGAGGTGGAAGAGTTCGGCCGACAGTTACCGGGGAGCGACGGAAGGACGCGCTGACCACAGACGAGTCCCGCCGACGCGAGCGTTGCCTGGCCCTCGGAATCTGTGCGTGCAGGCGCCCTCGAGCTCGTCCGCAAGGACGGCGTGCAGCTGCAGCTGCGCGATCTCGACGACCATCTTGACGACTCGCGCAACGACTGGCTAGGGAATGCTGCGGTGCGTGCCGCCGTCGCCAAGCTTGCATGAGGTATATCTGGTTTTGAGGCCACCACTATGGGGTACGGGAGATTGTGTAGTCTGGGGGAGATGGACGGTCGCGGGCCAAGCATCGCCTGCCTGAATGTGTCTGGTGCTGGCAGCTGTTGACGATAGGGGTCACATCGCCCTCCTGTCTCAAACTTGCCCTCTACTGATCACTCGCTGAAAGACCGCAATAGCCATCTCAATCTGACGCGCCGCCCCAAGCTTTCCAGTATCACCTTCGCGTCGCGCACTGTTTCCCTATTCCTAAGCTCTCACCGCGTGCCCGTACTGATTTCTCACTACAGAGCGTTTGGCTCTGATTCAACGCCGGGCGCGCATGCAGCTTGTCGACCTAAACGCAGGACTACACTGTCCCATGGATGTCCTGTGTGTTGGCAGTCGACCAACGCAGACTGTGGTTGTGAGGGAATAGGCAACATAACGATTCCACGGCGGAAGCAGCACATAAGATGCATCAAAGCAGGGAGTTTTAGGAAGAAGGTACAAAATATTTACAACAGTCTCAACCATAGAGGACATGCTGCTCAAAAAGGAGGAGGATGTCGCCTAGCGTCTCGTCGCCAAAGCCCATGAAGACATCGGCACGGGAGACGTCGCTGACGAGTGTAGGGCTGCCGTTGCAGATCAAGTGGGAGTCCTCGAGGTCTCCGGCAAAGTGGGCCTCGTCGACGAACGTAGGGCTGCTGATGTGCGACCAACCTGTGCCCTCGAAGTCGGCCGCCATGGGGAGTGCGTCGAAGAGCATCAGGTTTCCAACACAGAGCGCATCACTAGCTCCGTCCTCTTCAGCGGGGGTTTCTTCAGCGGGGGTCTCTTCAGCGGGGGTCTCTTCAGCGGGGGAGGCGGGAACGGTAATGTCGACCTCGTGGTCCTCAGCACCAGTGTTGGAGGTATCAGTGGTGCTCCACTCATCATCGGAGGCTGCAGTAGGGTCGCAGACGGGGGCGGGCGGAGGAGGGGGCGGCGGCCGAGGGTTGGGAGTAGGGAAACAAAGGAGAGTGTTGTTGGGCGGGCTGTCGAGTATCTCGTCCCAAGGGATAGATGGCCGCGGGGTGAAAGGCGGATTGCTCATGACTAGTGAGCTCAATCGGCGTTTCGGTAGACCCACTGGAGGTGCGAGAGGGACTGACAGTCGAAGGCTCGGTGTAGTGTCTCGGGGTGAAGAGCAATGAGCAAGAGGGTAGGAAGGTGGTGAGTGGGAAGGTGAGCGCAGCGATCAAGATTATATCATGTTCAAGATGCGGGCGAGAGGGATGGCGGCAAGCAAGCAAGCTGCGGTGGGATCCTTGTGCGATGCCTGCACCATCAGTTGCTCTCTGCGACACGAGCAGAGGAGAAAGTCGTTGTTCAACACCTGCTCGTGAGAGATTCGCCCTCTGTCTCCGCACTCCAGCGGCCACCCGAGCGCCGGAACATCAGTGCCCGTCGCGCAGAATGGGATAACGATGTTGGGGGAGCCATATAGGACGGCCAGTACAACTAGTGACAGCGAGCACGTCACGCTGCGCATTCGCTCCGCCGACGAGCCACAAAGTGTTGGGCTCTGATCAGCAGAGGGCGCTTGCGTCAGCAAGGGCACATTGTGCTCGCTCAATAGCCATGCAGCAACTGATCGGCACTCAAGAGTCACAGGCGGTGAGCATGGCGAGCGAGGAATTTGAATCAGTCGCAAGTGAGTGCAATGTTGGGCAGAGTAGTCCGCACCAGAACGGAATACGAGGGGTCATTTCCAGCCATCATGGGATTTGGCGTATTTTTCCACACAGTTCCTCCTCGCCGTCTTGTGATTGCGCGACACTTGCAGATGTGGAAGTGCGATATTGAAGTCCAGCGGCCGGCGGTAAGGAAACTGCCACCTGCGAGGTGGCCCTCGCCGATGGTCCATTCTCACTTATATCCGAGTCGTCTTGCAATGTACACACCGACATCTGTACAGCATACACAGCATATCATCTGGTGCCGACACCGATGTCCGCCATCGAGCGCAAAAGCATGGGAGGGTGAGATGCTGGGAAGCCGGCAGACATTTGAAACTGGGAGGGATCTGAGATCCATAGCGACCCTTCCACCCGCTTCCCGCGTTACCGCGTTCCATCCCACCCACCCGACCAAACGAGGACACCTCGTCAGATCTCGCGGCGATCACTGATGGTCTAGGCGCCTGGGCGATCGCACGGCGCACGGCTTGAAGATCGGCCTTCGCGTCGAGTCGTTTCTGGATCAGTTGTGGCTGACTGCACAGTCGTACAGCCATCTGCCACCAACGTGCGAGAGCAAGCGTATAAACAGCATAAGCGGGCGAGGAGCAAGTGAGGAGAAGTAACAAGAGATGCGCTGCAGACATGTAGCGAAGAAACAGGACACGAGGCTGCAGCGCGGTGCACCTGTAACGCGAGTGCGCTTGAAACTGGAACGGAAACTGAGTGATGGGGATGGGGGATGGGGG